GATTGAACTCACAACCCTGGGTTTAGCAGGCCAATCGCTCAAACCACTGAGCTATCCCTCCCCCCAAAGACACTTGTCATGTGGGTTGGGTCAAAGGGAAAGAGAAATGCAGACAGGAAATGTATGTACAAATGTAATTTCCAAACACATGAAGATGATTGAGCCTAATCATGCTGGCTGATATTTCTCTAAAGTACTTAGTGTGTAGGAATTATATCAGAGAGCCCTATATATGCAATAAAGTGTTTTTTTCTTTCATTGATTAAGTAGATATCTTATTTCTTAGTCTAGGGAATCTTGCACAGATACCATCTTACCACTTGTTCCTCCCATCTCTATTGTGTATTATAATACTATCAACCCACTGACCCTGCTGCTCTTCTGCCACCATTTGAATTTGTATTCAATATTTGCCCAATACTGTTAATATGGATTTATCACACCCCTGCTATCATTGCTACTTTTTACATTAGAAGTAAACCACTTCACTTTTCTTGAGCGAAGCTTCCATTTCATGTTGCTGTGAGATTTTGAACTCTATTTTTCTCACTAGTGGCTCAACCCAGAGAACAAAGACGTGTTTGGTTTGCTGATGGGATATTACCTAATGGAGAAGTTGCTGATGCAGCAAAATTGACAGTGGCTGGGACAACTCCTACAGGAACCCTAGCAGTGTCACATGATCCAACCAAGCCTGTGACCAACAGCTCTTTATCAGTAGAGGTGAGGAAACATTGTGCTGTTTATTTTTCAGAACAGCATCGTCACGTTGTCCTGGATGGTACATTCAGTTCTATGGCAATTTAAATGAGACTGATACGTCCAGTCTGTTGATTTAAGATTCTCTTTTAGTAATATGTATGGCTTATGTCCATGCTGATTTTGAGGTTTGCAGAGAGCTGAAGCTGGCTATATATTTTGGAATGAGCCGTTGAATTGCATATGCCATTATGAAGTAGCATTTTAGAGCTCTAATCCAGTATCGGGCCACTACTGTGCAAGGAGTTTTCCAAGCTTTGGGTATACAGCCTGTCTGTATGGATAAAGGAACGGGCTTAAATTCAGCCGGAGCTATCTGGTAAATATTTTCAAATTCGTGGGCAGAAGCTTGGTGTAACCGTAGCTGCTTTGTTTCTGTTTTGTTTGTACACGTGTTTATAGAGAGAGGAGGTGCTGGGTCTGTCTTAGTCTGTGTCAATGTCATGTACCCAGGGGCGGCTCCAGGCACCAGCGCACCAAGTGCATGCCTGGGGCGGCAGGCCACGGCAGGTGGCCTGCCGGTCGCTGTGAGGGCGGCAGTCAGGCTGCCTTCGGCGGCATGCCTGCGGGAGGTCCGCCAGTCCCGTGGCTTCGGCGGCTCTTCGGTGGTGGGCATGCCGAAGGCGCGGGATTGGCGGACCTCCCACGGGCATGCCACCGAATCTGCGTTACCAGCGGACCGTCCACAGGTGCACCACCGAAAGCCGCCTGCCTGTTGTGCTTGGGGCAGCAAAATACATAGAGCCGCCCCTGCATGTACCAAGGGTTAACTTGTACCTCTGATAATTCTATAGAGTGGATATATCTCATTCACCTACATCTAGCAATCTAAGGATGAAGTTTACCCAGCTCTTGCTTTTTTTTAAATGCTGTTCTTTCTTATTGTTTCCTTTTTGTAGACTGATAACACTTCTGGATTCTCGGGAAGTATAACTCAGGTTGGCAGTCCAGTTGGCAGTGCGATGAACCTGATCCCTGAAGATGGTCTTCCTCCAATTCTGATCTCCACTGGAGTAAAAGGAGGTGAGAGCAGTAGGGGTAAATGGACAGCTATTTGTGACATTTACTGGTGGCAGCTTAACAATTCAGGCTGCCACATATAGATAGAAAGTTGGATCCTGGATATAGCCTAAAGATATTAACGATGAATACTAATGTGTAGTTAACTGGCTTGGCACTAGATAGTGCTCACAGGCTTCTGTAGAAAACATCGTTCTGACAATGAAATTACTATTAAAAGTAAAATACAAAGCAAAAAAAAATTGAGCCCAGAAGTATGTGCTAATTTCCTTATTAATCAGACTGTGGGGAACATTCAGCACAGAGATACGTTTTAATTAGTCATATAAATATTCATATTTCCACTCTGTGAAATTTTCTTGGAACTTCTGCTTGGTTGAAGGTATCCCAAAATATATAATTTAATGACATCATAAATACCATTGGTTGTGATGAGACTTCTCATACTTGTGAGTATCTTAAGTGAACCAGGAAGTTCTTAGGAGAGCGTTAGCATGTATTAGTGGCCTGAACTCACTTTTCACTTTTTTTTTGTAGTTCCCCTTTCAAATTTGTGGTTGGTTCAGCATATTTCTAATTAGACAGTAAGTAACTTTATCTAGGATATTGTTAAAAAAATAAGTAAGCATATTTACATTTTCAAAACCAGTCTGCCCCCAGGCTGTATTAGCTATTCATGAAGCTGCCTAATTATTGAACCTCTGTAACAGAGAGAAACTAGTAACCTAGCTTTACTTAATTAAATTGCAGCATGCTTTTCAGCACATGAGCCAAATCTCACAAGCCCAACAATTTTACATGGATATCATCAGTAAATCATACTTTGCGTATGCTTGAATTAATTCAAATGTCATTGTGCCTGGTTTGACTTACAACATTTTAATCACCAAGTGGACATTTACATCAAATTTACAAATATACTTTTCACATTAGTGAGGTGAACTTTCTCTCTAGATGTTATAGGTGGCAGGATAACAAACACCCTTCCAAATTTCCCTTATTTCTTTATAAAGCCACATTGCTGACTTGTAGGCAGGAGCACAGATTACTTCAACAGTTCGGGTGTTTATATTTAAACACTCAATTCATATGGATCGAATCAAAGAAAGTGTCTATATTTTGAGTATCTTACTGAATAAATTTGAGACACAGGATTTGAACCTTCTGTCCATTTTTTTTATTCTCCCTTCTTTGCTGTTGTACTGTAGGCTGTTGCACTTGATTGTAAGCTCTGTGACTGAAGCTCCAGGTGCTACCACAATATAAATACTAAGTGTTAAAGTTGTTGGGTTTTTTTTTAGCATTTCACATTGTAGTCTACACTAACACTTGTTTCTAAAAGGAAGTCAAAGGTTTGATTTTTCAAGTTGTTACTGCTATTGATACAAATTAGTTGATAAAAATTAAGGCTGGAATTTTCAAAGGGGCCTGTGGGAGTCAGGTACTCAAATCATTGAAATTTGAAAATCCCTGCCCAACAAGTATCAGAACAAACTAAATTTTAAAATGTCAGGTAAAATGTAACTGAATCAAACTGTATACATTAGAGTGATGTCATTGCTTAGCTGATTACTTTGCTGAGTAGATTACTGTCCAAATAAGCAAATGACTTCACGATGCGTTTCTTTCTTATAGACTATGCTGTAGAAGAAAGACCTTCTCAGATCTCTGTGATGCAGCAGCTGGAAGATGGCAGCCCTGACCCTCTTGTGTTTGTTTTAAATGCAAATTTGCTGTCCATGGTTAAAATTGTGAATTGTAAGTTATTTTTTTATTTAATAAGAGGGGGGCAAAAAGTTTGTATACATATTCCTGGTTGAAAACACAGCATTTGATATTTACTACCCACAATCTGTGAATTGCTGCATGGAAGTAAAATGTACTATATTTTTATTCCTATTAAATTATAAAACGCACCTATTCCTTGCTCTAGGTTGGATTAGTCCAGTTTGTATTTTTGTATAAAATTATCTGTACATGCGCCTGGAACATCCTACATACCCATCCAACCCAACAGGGGTCACTATTATTCACCAATCCTCCCCTCATTGTTAATCCACTTGAACCCTTCTCATATCTCGGGAAAACAGATAAATCTTTCAATGATGCTCTGAAAACAAGCAGGATTGTGGCTCTGTCAGACCAGGGGGTGAAGTGAGTTCCAGGGTCAGACAGCCCTCGCTGAAAACACCTGGCCTCTCAGATCATCTTGTCTATATTATGGAGGGGGTATGAGTGGGGAGGCTTTTAGTTTAAGTGCCTCAGTTGGTCTCCACTTTTATTTCAAAATAAAAAGCAGGACACTTTTGTAGCAACACATTTTTAGGGTCACTAAATGCTCATACAAAAGATAAAAAACTGCACTTTTAAAATGTGTGCTGGTTTTGCTACTCTCAGCATCTGACTCAACAGCAACATGTTCATATTTCTTGGAACATGTCCTACATCTCCTTTCCCAAACCTCAAAGCAGTGTAGTGGCCCAGTGGACGATGCTATGCACCATCCAATTAGCCATCGCCCTGATTCCTCTACCTTCATCCACATTCCACCCCTATTTTGGAATGTAGACACCTGTTGTATTGATCTGGTCTGTTGTGTTCAGGCATGTTTGTGTGCAAGATTTGGGTCATAGAGCCTTAGGTATCTTAGTAGCAAGTGCCAGAGTTATGCAATGTTAGTGTAATTGATTTTTTTAAAATGTGCTGTCTTCCGACAGTGAAGTTTGGGCATGGCAAACAGATGTTGAGTGGAAATCTACTTTTTCCAGCCTGAGTCATGTTTTCCTCTCTGCAGATGTGAACAGGAAGTGCTGGTGTTTCACTACAAAGGGAATGCATGCAGTGGGGCAGTCGGAGATAGTGATTCTCCTGCAGTGTTTACCTGATGAGAAGTGTTTGCCGAAGGATATCTTTAATCATTTTGTGCAACTTTATCGGGACGCCTTGGCAGGTGGGAACGATTTCTGTTTGAAATCTATAATAGGTGACTTCAATAAATGAAATTAATGGACTAGAGAATTGCTTTGATAAAATTGAGAATTTATTTTTATTTAAAAGTAGAAAACGTACTGATCAAAGTTGGTAGTGATCTGAGTTCACTTCAGTTATTAGTATTCAGTATTACTATGATAGTCACTAAGGCAAATGGGAGTGCAGGAAATAAAACAAAGTATCTATGCTCTAATTGGAGAAGAGGGTAGCATTGCAGTAGCAACAATTATATTGAAGGGGAAGTGCTTTCCTTCTAAGCCCCTTTTGCCAGCTGTCTGTAATTTTCAAAAAATTATATTTGGCTAGGATTTTTTCTTGTTTTTTTTCAGCTCAAAAGTGACTCTCTAAGGTAAAATTATTTTCAGCCCTTACTAAGTTCTCAAAGTGTGAAAGTGTGTAGGGGAGGGCAGGGGAACTACTGCTGAGCCAGGCATGCACACATAAGAGGGAGTAAGGTGAATAAAAGTCCATCATATGCTACTACAGCATTAGGGCTGGAGTAGTCGCCATAAAATCTCTCTGCAATCTGTAAAGAGGGATTCTTCCATGCATTTATCTGGTGCCTGGTCTGGTATGCCAGGTGCTGTCCTCAGAATTTGAGCAAGGGTTACATACATTTGGAGTTGGTAACTCTAGTTTTTACAGTGCCTAGCACAGTGGGCTCCAGACTAGGGCTCTTGGGCACTACAGTAATACAAATAATATAGTAATAATTTCAGTTTGCAATCAGATGTTTTTAACACATGGAAATAAAATGCAAGAAATCGTTAATGAAGCATTGTGGTTATGGTAAATGCACTAAAATTAGGTAATTCAAAATTATGATTTCCTATAGTAATTGTAAGTTGGCCACATTACAGCATAAAAATTGACGTCATAAAGTAATGTTATGTATATATGTAAGGCATGGATGTATTGCAGTTGCTGTAGGAATCATACCAGAATTTCCTGTCTTTGATGCGTATAAAATCCCAACCATAAAGTTGTATTAACATAGTTTTTTGTACCCAATTTAGATATTACTGGACAAATGGGCTGTCACTTTAACAATTGCCACTCACAAGAATCCAAAAATCATTGGTCATAAAGAAAAAAAATGATGGTATAAAATATCTAGATATGTTAATTTATTTTGTACTCCAGGTTAGTCCTCTAGAGGAGAAATCGTATTGCACACAGGGATTTATATTAAAAATTCATATACATGTACAGATCATCTATTGCATGTTCTGTATTATAAGTATTGTAAATAATCATCCAAAGCTCTCTTTGAATCATCGATTGAATCCAACTATTAAGTGAGATAATGAAAAAGAGGGTCTCAAAATATCTGTCTTTTTACAACAAAGGCCAGCTTGTCCAGTGAAGGTGCTTGAAACAAAATGTACCATTGTCACATGGCCTTACTGGTTTCAGATATGGTGGGAATAAATAATTTCCAAATCTGACTTAACCAACAATGCAGAAACGTTGTTGTCTTCTAACTATGATGATGTGTATATTGCAGTGCTATGGTGTACAATTACGCTACCGAGATACATAATTTATAACTTCTACATCATGTATTCTGAGACCTATTTTTAGCGCTCTACTGGTAGTAATTTGATGTGCTACATCGCAGTGCTAAGAGAGAGGTAGTGCTAGTTTTACCATTTTTAATCAGAAACCAAACTCCAGCACTTAGAGTTCCCAGTTTTGGAGGTAGTTTTGAAAATACTTATTGCTATATTTCAGACTTGTAGTAGAAACAAATTGTATCTTGAGTAGCTGTATGATATAAAAATGATTCTCACTCAGGCTTTAATAAATCATGGCATGCAGGATAAATTCCCACAGCAGCATATAATGCATTCTTTACATATCCATCCTTTCCTCTCCCAAAGTTATGTACCTATGAGAGAAATAAAATATGCACTCATAAATATAGGATACTTGCAGTCTTAACTTTCCTCTGGCTGCTTTCCTCTCTACTCACCAAGAAGAAAAAATAGTGAGGTGCCATGAGAATTTCTCCTGTGTGACTGTAATTTCTTGGGTGTTGTTAACAAGCATGCTGGTTATTACAGACATGTCTAAGCTTCCAATTTTGCCCATTTTATCAGAGGTGCTGCACCCCTCATGTTTATCAGTCTGTGAGAGTGGATTTGCAGTGAATGAGAATTTATTATAGAAATTAGAGACTGCTTGAAAGCCTGCCTAGCAATTTTATTTCTTGATTATAATATATTTCTTTGAATTGGTGTTGCAGCCAGGGAACAGAAGTAATTTTTTGTATTTTGAAGAAAGTTTGCTGCAGAAGGTAAATAGGAAGGAACGTAACCATACTGGTTATCAATATAGTATCTTGAACGGCTAGGATACAGAAATTGGTTACTTAGTTTTGGTCACTGAAAATATGTGATAATTATTTTTGCTAGATTTAGGTAAGTAACAAGAGATGTGCACAAACCTTTGGTGAATTTTCAGGAAACAAAATTAAATATACGTGCTAGCTGTTCCATCTCAGTTATTCACTTTTCAACTCCACCTTCATGGAAGTAAAAATCTTAAATGTTGTTTTTAATATATATATAGGGTAAAGTTGCATAAAACCACATTTAGTGCAGTGTTGATGCTAGTTTGAAGTTTCTGCTTTGAAACTGCAATGATTTTCTTCATAAAGCATTATCAATTCACTGTAAAGCTGGGGTCTGTTAGGTGTATAAAGAGTTTTTAATTGCAAAACTGCTGATATTTTGAAGAAAAGATACAGGGTTCCAGTATGGATTGTATGCATAGAAAATATATTTTAAAATGCAGGGCTCCCTCTCTCCTCCCCATCATTTTGTTTCCCCTCTGGCCCCTAAAGGCTTTGTTTGTTGTCAAGCTCCCTGCTGAAGTGTTGCTTTTCTTGTTTTGAAATGGTAGGCTAATGGTTTTCTGTTGTAGTAGTAATCCCATGATGATGTCTTTGTGTTGGATATAAGCCCAGCAGGAAGTCCAGTAAGTTGAGAAATGAGAACTTTGTCCATGTCACTGGCTTCTTTGAAGTAGCCAGGCATGCTAATTGAAAGCTGCTCGATATGCCTCATTACACTAGCTTATCTTTTGATGGAATATAATAAGTACTTCCATTTTAATACGGACTAATGTAAATCTGGGAACAGGTGATTTAGTTCCACTGCCTAAAGACATTATAGGTTTGCCTAAGATTTTGTTTAATTTTTATTACATTTTTCATTAAATGAGCATGAAGCATTAAGAGGAGCAACCTAGAAGCCAAATACAAAGTTCATATATAAAGATGTACATATAAAATCTGGATAAATGAGAGAGGTTTCATATACCTTCACTTCCAGACTGTAATGCACAGAGATGAATGCAAAACATACATTATTTAGACACAGACACAAAACCTAGGGAAGAGGGCCACACCATGGCATGAAGAAGAGATGAGGCACAGAAAAAATCTAGTGTGTTCAGCTTTATATTTGTTTTATCAAACTTGGCATTTTCTAAAGCATGTTGCACCAAAGTGTTAGATATGTGGTTCTCTCCTGTGTATGTATTTGGCCCTCACTACTATGCTGTCTGGTTTGTGTCTCACATTTTCAAGCAGAGAGTATGAAATTTTTTGTAGAAATTCAACTGGCCTGATTTCCCCCAAGTATTATTGATTCAGTTCTATTGCTGCAGGATTAAGTTGCACACATTTCCACCTTTATGGATTGGCATTTAATCTTAGGCAGTCCTTGATGGTGATTACCGTTCATGATGAAACGAGGGCTGACTGTACAACTGAGGCAGCTCCCACTCCACTTAATTGCATATTAACATATTAAGAAATGATACTGGGACCAATTCTCTGACATGGAATTCATCAAATGATATGGAAGACATCAGTAATTTTAAAAAGCTCCACCCATATGGTTTCATTGAGCACTAAGCAGGGATGTCTCATTTTGTATGTAATAAGGATAAGGGTACATGAGAATATACTAGCACCTAAAAATCTGTTTGTAAATAACAAGGTCGAGAACTTGAGTTAGAAGCCAGTCTGTCCTCAGTTAAAATATGGAAATAGCTGAAACTGGAAAGTTGTTTAAAGCAAGTAATGAAGAAACACGGTGGTCCTTTCCCTCCCCTTTCGTGGTATGAACTAATTTAACTGATGAGGTCAAAAAGTATTGTCTAATAAATATACAAAATTTGTTGCTCATTAAGCGAAAAAGACCCAGTGAAGAACTAAAGACAGTCGGAATAGGCCCTCAGGAGGAAAGTCACACCAATGGACTGGTGTGTGATGATTTTTTTTTTTTAAGAAATCTATAGAGCTGCTTGGGATTTAAGGTCAAGGGTAATCCAGTATAACAGTACTTAGTTGGTATTGAACTTCTGCAAAGCTGCTTTAGATGCATCATGCACACCTATGGCAATTTATAAATAATATTAATCTTATTACATCACATGCATGCGGCAACTACTAGCAAAGGCACCTTTCTCTGTATTTTGGAACTACTCGAGATTTGTTTCTCTTTACAAGGAAGTTCTAACATAGTCTAAGTTAAATTATATGCTTTTGAGAAGGATAGCCTAGTTGAGGTTCCTTTATTTACAATTGCATTTTGGCTAGAAGCTTCTGAAATAACTACGTGTTGTGTGCAAAGTAAATAATAGGATCTGGCTGTGGTTTATGGTAACAGGGTATTGGATGATTGAGTTGTAGTTTCCACTGTTGCTGGGTTTATAACCTGACTTTCAATTTGGGTTGGGATGAAAATTGTCCTGAAGGCAGCCAAAGAATGCATCCCTCGAGCTGTTGCCTTCAGAAGGCTGGTGCCTTTCACTTCTGATTCAATACTTGGCTTCAGTCACAAATGGAAATGTTTGGTCTCTTCATTATCTCTGTTGGACAGTAATCCACGTCACAGAACTGTACAATAGTATATAGCTTTATTTTCCTATTGTCTTTTGTACAAACAGTACATGAGGGAGATGTATAGAATTAAATACTTACACTTAAAATAATTCAAAGACTCGTATATTTTAAGACTAGAAGATATTATTATGATAATGTAATCTGACTGAAGAACTTCACCCATAATTTTTGCATTGGGCTCATAACATTTATTTGAATAATAGTAGAGGAGAAAAGATAGGCAAGAAAGAAGAGATGTTTTCCGTGATTTGGAAATAGGCAGAGAGCCAAGACACATACTTGAAAGCTGTTTCAGAGGAAAGAGAAAGCTCTTTCATGGGCATTTATTTTTCATAATTTTCATTCACTATTTAAACTTGGCACCTAGACACATGATTGGTGCACTAGAGCCCCCATCTGCTGCTTCCTTTGTTCCTTCTGGTGCAGTGAATCAACAGAGAGAGGAGGGGGAGGGCGCGGGGTCCATTGGGGTGTCTGCCCCGTCTATTTATAGTCCTGTCCTCTAAGAGGCATTTCCAGCAGGGAGCATGGCGCCTGGGAGACTGTGTGGATGGGAACCCCATGCTGCTGCTTTGCTAAAAATGTAGATTTTCTACCCATGCCCCTTTTCCTGCCAATGAATAGCCACTTAGCAGGTAATGGCCCATTGACCTTGTTTAGACCTGGCTGAGGCATAAGCCTGTGCCTTTGTCTCTGAAGAACTGGTTTGGCCACTCCCCAGACTTGGAAGATGTTTAAGGCCTTGTCTACACTAGCTGGGTAAATCAAACTAAGTTATGCTACTCCAGCTATGCGAATAATGTAATTGAAGTCAACGTAGCTTAGGTTGACATACCGTGGTGTCTTCACTGCGCTGCGTCAACGGGAGACGCTTTCCTGTCAACTTACCCTTACTCTTCTTGGGGAGTTGGAGTACTGGAGTCGAACGGAGAGCGCTCTGCCGTCGATTTAGTAGGTCTTCACTAGACCCGCTAAATCGACGCCTGCTGTATCGATTGCAGCAGCGTCTCCCTGGTAGTGAAGACAAGCCCTTAGTAACACCATACAGTGGAATTGTATAAGTTTGCATACATTGTTGCTACACACATTTTACCAGGACAATAATGACCAGCAAATTGTGAGTTTTCAAATGATACCTCACAAGGCATACTTTGTACAAAGATTATTACAATAGTGTACGAGAGGTAAATACAGGGGTACAGTTTGTCACAATATGCTTAACTGGTTAGAGTGTTTTTACTTTTTAACCTTTGAGAGTTCTTTTTTAAATGGGGTGAAAGTTTCTAGCTGATAGAATTTGCAATAATTTGACAGTGTAGATTTCTAACACATCTGTGCGCGTGTGTGTGTGTGTGTGTGTGTAAAACTCAAATTTAACTTGAAGATGTGATCCTAGAATCAGATCCTACTGAGTGACTCCTGTGAGATACTGAGTGCCTTCAATTCGAATTGGCTTTTTGGGAAATGAGTCCTCAGCCCCTTGCAGGATTAGGCCCAGTGTTAAAAAAGAGAGCAGTAAAGCAACATTAATAACAATGTTCACAGTTTCTGAATATTGGTCCAAAAAAGGTTAAATCAGACTGAAAAAAGCAAGAGTTGTATTGAGGTGGGTTTGCCTTTCTGCCTTCCCCCTCCAGAATTCCAAATGGATCGGTATGGGGCTATACCAAGGACTGAACACTTCTTGGTTGTTCATGAGTCCTGTCCCATGGAAACATTGCCATCAGCAGCAACAGATTGTCATTTCATATGCAAAGAGTTAGGATTCCTCTACTTAGCTGCAGGAGGCAGTGAGATGAGGCTTCTGTTTACAAACATGCCCTACTAATTAGCTAGAAGTCCAAACTCCCAGGGACCTATAGAAAAAGGAACATATGATGATTGTGCTGGTCTGGGAGAGCTGCAGAGACAGTGCCCTTGGTCGATGAGGGCAAGAGAGGAACATCTTGTGTCGCCCTCAGGTGAGACTCTTGGAGCAGAACCATGTGCAGCCCTGGCTTCAGAGAGAATCAGTGTGACTTGGAGCCTTCGGAAGTGAGTTGATCCAGGGACTTCCTGCAAACTACTGTTGGTTAACCCTTCCTTTGCCAGATAAAATTGTAGTAGCTTTATCTATTTTTAACACACTGTAATTTGTAGTCATTTGAAAATGGCTTTAGGCTGTTTCATAACAAAATCAAGAAGCCTTGTAACTGGCTGCCACATCTACAGTTCAGAGTGCTGATATAGCTACTTCGATATGACTCAGAAATTTTACTAACTTAAGACCCAGTGTTCCTCTCAGCTGTGTGGCATGGAGCAAAACATTAGTAACTGCTTTAAAATGAACATGAATGTTGCCTTAAATTAACAGTAGTCAACTAGGGGACAGTGGGCTTCAGAGGCACGGATGGCTATACACTGTAGTAGAAGTGCGGAGACAGAGATCAATGCTTACACAGCGATCTCTGTTAGCAGACCTGCTGACAGTTGTGAAGAAAATTCAGCAGCAACTATTGCTTTTTAGATGGCAGTTAACTTCCCCTTGACACTCTCTGTTCCTCTCTAAGAGGGGAGGGAATGTACAAATGTAGGAGGACAACCAGCAATAACACACCTATCAAGTCAACCATGCTACTGGAATAAAGGAAGCCCTGGAATTGTTGCAGAAGAGCTGGCCTTCTGCATGGATGTCTCCAGACCAGTGGTTCTCAGCCTGTGGACCAATCAGCAGACAGCAGCAGCCCATGTGACATTCTCAGGGCCGTTCTGGTAATATATTGTGTGGATGTGGCCCGCATAACATACAGAGAGCTTCATATGCAGCCCACAATGGTAAATAGGTTGAGAACCACTGCTCCAGACCAAAGGAATTGGTGCCAAGATTCCTCGTGGGTCTCCAGAGATGGCATGAAGGCCAGACCACAGTCCCCTTCATGAAGTTACTGATCTCCCCTCCCCAAGAGCAGCACGTGCTGCCTTTGTAAATCCTAATAAAACACAAATTCTGACATTCGATAAGAATGAGAAATGTTATCAGATGTCTCTATACATTATTTAAGCCTTGTTGTGCCCTTCAATAAAGGGAAGCACATTAATGTATTTTGTGTACACGAGCTGTGCATGTTACTACTTGATGTTTTAATCAAAGCTTTGTTTAAATGTTGCACAGTTAGTTATATTCTTACAACAGAGGGGCCAAGGATAAAATGAGCCAGGGAGACTGAACTTCTCTCCCCTCGGGTGGTGGTCACCCTCATCAATGGAGTTGAAGCACATGTGGAAACATTTCCTTGTGCTTTCACAATCCTTGCTGTACCTGTTTTGTAGATAAAAGTCAGTCTTAGGGCCTGCTGGCACCTTTCATCAACACTTGCATCCTCTTACTCTGTTTAGAAAAAGGGGGGGGGAATTTTGTGTTTGCCAAAATGAATGACCAGGATGCATCTCTTGATTGGGGGATACTAATATTTTGTTAAATGTTTTCTTAATTATCTAATCAACTTTAGTTCATAAGATGATTCCATCAGACACATTTTCCTTATTAGGATCAAAGAATAGAATTTTGATTTAGAATTAGTGATATTTCTTGTGTATCCGTCTCAGCTGCAATTTACATAAAATATACTAAACACTCTCTTGTGTAATTCTTCAACTGACCCAGATCTTCAGAATGTTTATGTGGGTACTGTATCCGTTTGTGTAAAATTTTAAAAAAATAGACATTATTGATTTGGCCAAGTGTATTTGTGCTGTTTTGCCGCAAAACTCTCTTCCTCTTACAAGTAGCAGCTTCTGAGGACTTGATTAATTAAATAAACGTGTCCAGTTTCTACATTGGAGAGTCCATGTAAGGTCATGAAAGCACTGAAAACAGGTTTTCTGTTAGGGGTTTTCATAGCTTGAGGCACTGTGGAAACCAAACTTTCAGTGGATCCCTAATCTCAGTGTAATACGCCTCTTGAATTGCACCTCAATAACAAAACTGAAAGCAAGCTCCAGTCATACTCGAGGTGCATATCAAAGTAACTGTCTTTTTCTCTAAGTATGACTAGATAGCATAGTAAACATGTAATCTATCCCCTGATGTGCATATACAAATTGTGAGTAAGGGTGTTGGTGCCTGTGTAGCTGCGTGCATAATCCCTGATTTACACACATGCATGGACCTAAATATCAGGCAAGTACAGAAATGAATGTGCGCACTCTTTTGTGTATGTGCTTCTACAGATCTGGCCTCAAATGTTTCAAGACTCATGGTGCTCATGTCACAAGTGGATATTAAGTGAAGCAGAATTGGTTTTATTTCTCTAAGGCCTCGTCTACACTAGAGAATTAGGTTGATTTAACTACATCGGTCAGCGGTGTGAAAAATCCACACCCCTTAGTGGCATAGTTAAACTGACCTAAATCCCTATGTAGACAGCACTAGGTCAACAGAAGAATTCTTCTGGCGGCCTACCTACTGCCTCTTGGGGAGGTGGATTACCTACCCTGAAGGGAGAATCCTTCCCATTGGCGTAGATAGTGTCTACAGTGAAGTGCTACAGCTGCGCCGCTCTAGCATTTTAAGTATAGACAAGCCCTAAGTTTTTAAGCTTTAAGACCTAGTTATATCACACTGACCTCTAAGATGCTTGGGAAATCCAAAATGAGGGACACCACTGAGGCAGCAGATCACGAAGCTTGACATGATGTGGGAATCGCTTATTGAATGTGTAAAACTTTTCTAAACTTGGTTTCAAGGACTGACATAATTTGCAGCGGTTGAACAAATCTGTTGCCTCCCCAATATGTTTTGATGCATCTGTAGTCTGAGGTGGAAATTTCAGCACAAAGATACTGTAGAATAAGGGGTAACTTGAACATTCTTGGGTAGCAAGTATTTTCATTCTGTAATGTGACTAATGGGAATTAACTAAGGATGTAATTCCAGGAAGAAAAGTGTGTGTTTAATCTTGTTTTTCTCTTTTAAAACAAGTTAGTGAATTTTTTGGTGCAGACTTTAGTGCAGTAAAATAATGAACTTCATGGTTTCTAGGTAATGTCGTGGGCAGCTTGGGACACTCCTTTTTCAGCCAGAGTTTTCTTGGCAGTAAGGAACATGGTGGATTTTTATATGTGACGTCTACATATCAGTCACTGCAGGACCTGGTGCTCCCAACTCCGCCCTACTTGTTTGGAATTCTTGTTCAGAAATGGGAGACTCCCTGGGCTAAAGTGTTCCCCATCCGACTGATGCTGAGACTTGGAGCTGAATACAGACGTAAGTCGCATGTGTTCTCTTAACTGTAGTAACCCGTGTCTGTGCTTGGGTGACATTTCTGAGAGCTGTTATGGAGTTGTGTACATCAGATATACAGGAATAGTGATTCTGGGGAATGTGCCCCACTAACCACAACCCCAATGACTGTGCCTGTAGACAGATACCTTACTAAGTCAGTCTTATGACCTAAAACTTTTTAGATGCAATTAAAACTAACAATTAACTGAGGTCCTGGTAACACAACCTGTGACCTAAAATAGAAGAACAGTACAAAAGCTGCTTTTGATACCTTGAAATTCATTCCACTCTTAGTGAAATAGAGGCTCCTCTTTAGTTTTTAGGTTTCTCAACCATGCTCATCTAGAAAATGGTAATATATGTGCAGGTGAAACTAACTTACAGTACTTTATAAAAAGGCAATACCAGCTGATGACAGCAAGCTACAGAGAGTTCTTTAGCTGGACAAAATCTAAAACTGGCATAAAATATTCCCAGAATGGCACTGTCCATATTTGGATCTAAAAGAAGTCATGTTAACTCCTAATTGGCTCCAGGAAAAGCTAAGGGTTTTCTGCATGATTCATCTGCTGCCTGGTTGGTAGGTCTGTTTAAAGCTGACTTGCTGTGAAAAATACATTTTAGATTCTTCTTTGTGCACCAGCACTGTAATTCTTTCCATAGCATTAGTAAAATATATTTCACAGGTTTGCCAAACAATGATAATAAAATTTAAATCAGTGTCACTGAAAGTCAGGAAACATCCACAGGAAATTTTCACAGGCTTTGTAGATCAAACTTTTCATATCACGTAAAAATTAGGACTGTCAAGGCAATTAAAAAAATTAATCATGATTAATTGCACTGTTAAACAATAATAGAATACCATTTATTTAAATATTTTTGGATGTTTTCTACATTTTCAAATATATTGATTTCAGTTACAACACAGAATACAAAGCGTACAGTGCTCACTTTATATTTTTATTAGATATATTTACACTGTAAAAAAAAACAAAAGAAATTGTATTTTTCAATTCACCTAATGCAAGTACTGTGGTGCAATTTCTTTATCATGAAAGTTGAACTTACAAATTTAGAATTATGTAAAGGCATTGAAAAACAAAACAATGTAAATCTTTAGAGCCGACAAGTCCACTCAGTCCTACTTCTTGTTCAGCCAACTGCTAAGACAAATAAGTTTGTTTACAGATAATGCTGCCCATTTCTTGTTTACAATGTCACCTGAAAGTGAGAACAGGCGTTTGCATGGCACTGTTGTAGCCGGCATCGCAAGGTATTTATATGCCTGATGTGCTGAAGATTCAGATGTTCCTTCATGCTTCAATCACCGTTCCAGAGGACATGTGTCCATGCTGAGATGAGTTCTGCTCAATAACAATCCAAAGCAGTGCGGCCCGACGCATGTTCATTTTCATCATCTGAGTCAGATGCCACCAGAAAAAGGATGATTTTCTTTTTTGGTGGTTCGTGTTCTGTAGTTTCCACATTGGGTGTTGCTCTTTTAAGACTTCTGAAAGCTTGTTCCACACCTCGTCCCTCTCGTATTTTGGAAGGCACTTCAGATTCTTAAACCTTGGGTCGAATACTGTAGCTATCTTTAGAAATCTCACATTGGTACCTTCTTTGTGTTTTGTCATATCTGCAGTGAAAGTGTTCTTAAAATGTGCTGGGTCATCATCCAAGACTGCTCTAACATGAACTATAGGGCAGAATGCGGGTAAAACAGAGCAGGAGACATACAATTCTCCCCCAAGGAGTTCAGTCACAAATTATTTAATGTATTATTTTTGTAACGAGTGTCATCAGCGTGGAAGTATGACCTCTGGAATGGTGGCCCAAGCATTAGCCTGCTAAACCCAGGGTTGTGAGTTCAATCCTTGAGTGGGCCACTTAGGGATCTGGGGCAAAAAATCAGTACTTGGTCCTGCTAGAGAAGGCAGGGTGCTGGACTTGATGACCTTTCAAGGTCCCTTTCAGTTCTATGAGATAGGTATATCTCTGTATATATAAATCCTATTATCTTATTTTAATTAATTATTTTTAATTAATTTTTAATGAAGGGGTATATGAATGTTTAGCATATCTGACTTGTAAATACCTTGCAATGCCGGCTACAAAAGTGTCATGCAAACAGCTGTTCTCACTTTCAGGTGACGTAAATAAGAAGCGGGCAGCATATCTCCCATAAATGCAAACAAACTTGTTTCTCTTAGAGATTGGCTGAACAAGAAGTAGGAGTGAGTGGACTTCTCGGCTCTAAAGTTTTACACTGTTTTGTTTTTGAGTGTAGTTATGTAACCAAAAAAATCATCTACATTTTTAAGTAAAGTGATTGCACTACAGTACTTGTCAGAGGTGAATTGAAAAATATATTTCTTTTGTTTATCATTTTACAGTGCAAATATTTGTTATAAGAACAATATAAAATGAGCACTGTACACTTTGTATTCTGTGTTGTAACTGAAATCAAGATATTTGAAAATGTAGAAAACATCCAAAAATATTTAATAAATTTCAGTTGGTATTCTATTGTTTCAGTGCGATTAAAACTGCGAATAATTGCAATAAATTTTTTTAATCACGATTAATTTTTGTTTAGTTAATTGTGAGTTAACTGCAATTAATCTACAACCCTAATAAAAATATATATTATTGACTTATTATAGGAAGCAAGTGGCAGAATTTAATGTAAAATGATGAAGTTTGGTGATTATTAAAACATTAACAACCACATTAATAAAGATCATTAATTTCGGCATTCATTGTTTGGTTGAGGGGTGTGTGTGTGTGTGTGTAATTAGTTTAACTTTTATGTGTATCTATTATAACTAAGATTTTCCAAAGTGGCTGCTGAAAGTTAAGGTCACAGTCCATCTTTGAACACTTAAACAAGTGATCTGATATTCAAAGCTGCTGTGCTTCACAGACTCTCATGGATTTCAGTAGCTCTGTGTACACAGTACTTTAGAAAATAAGGGCACTTATTTAGGTGCCTAAATAAGGATTTAAGAACCTTGCTTTAGACATCCTTTTTGAAAATCTTGGCATAATTTATATTCAGTTCATTTTTCCTCATAAATCTGCTGCAACATAATGTTACATGACCAAGCACATCCCTGTGCATGTTGAGTTGTATCATAGATAACATTTTATAGATATGGATAAGTATGCTAGGGAATGCAGATATTTTGCTGCCATTGGCATGTCAGAAATGTACTTTGTCCTATTGAAATTTTCCTAGATGAAGAGGCTTAGATTCAGTCTGGTTTTTGCATAACCTTTAAATAGGAGAATCTGAATCTGATTACTTATTTTTTTAATATTCCTAGTTTATCCTTGCCCACTTTTCAGCGTCAGATTTCGTAAGCCATTGTTTGGGGAGACTGGACACACAATTATGAATCTTCTTGCAGTAAGTGATGAGTGGGGTTTTTGTTTGTTTGTTCTGTCTGTATATATGGAAGGGAATGTTATACTATAAGATTATCTTAATTTATGTGTATAGTAACTGACTTTCAAAACAGTATGATAAGGAAATACTGTTATTGTGGTATTTGGGTGGTGGCTTCTTGTCTAATCTAGATATCAGACAGCAACTTTTGATGATGCAATAAATATTAATGATGTGCCCAAATCAAAACTCTGGGTCTTGAACCACTGTGAATTTTTGGATCTGGATCTAAATTTTGCTGCTCAGACCACTCTTCAAAAATTTAGTCATAATTCTGTGATTATAGAAAGTTCTAGCTGGAGCTAACTTGTTAATTCTTAAGTGTAGAGAATTCTCCATTTGGTACATGCCTTACTCTCACTCCCGGTGAATCTGAGGTCTCCGTCTAATCTAGCACAATGCAGAGAAAGATCAAATTTTCCTATCTAAAGTAATGGTACATGAGTCAGGAGAATATTAAATTTTATGCATTATACTTCTATTTAATAGTTCTGTACCTTGGTCTCTTTCTGAAAGGAGAACTACCCTGTGTCACTAATGACTACGTTGTTTTACTTCTTTGTTCCTCTAAAACACAAGGACTTCAGAAATTACCAATATACGTTGCCAGTGGTCCAAGGTTTAGTGGTTGATATGGAAGTGAGAAAAACCAGCATCAAAATCCCCAGCAACAGATATAATGAGGTAATACTTAGAGTAAATATATATGTTTAGTCTAGTACAATTTAAAGATAAGAGGGATTGGGTCCAAAGGAATTTATTGTGTTTGCCACTGCCAGTGAAAACTGCCTCAGAATTAAACTATAAATGTATTATGTATAAATTTTTTATATATGAATTGCCTACAGAAATGAGTTATGCACAGATCAATTCAGTGTGGCATTAGTTAAAAATAATGGATAGTTGCTCTTCTTTATACAGAGGTTATTACTTTTAAATAAACTTCAAATGTAATTAATTGAAAATCTGGGGTTAGAGAGTTGCATATACTATTCTGATTTGAGTAAATGAATCAGTTAAATAACACATGCTGTATGGTGTAAAGTGAGGAAAAAATGAACTTTCTCCAAGTACATGTCGTGTGTTCATAGTGTTTGTGAAGGTATTTGTTGGATATTTGAAGATTTTAATGCAAAATATATCTCTGTACATTTGAAATAAGAGTTGATTTAATTGCATGAGAAAAGCTTCAGCTGTCTTTTAGACTTAGTTGATGTTGACAGTCAGACTGTGGAGTGACAATCATTGTTGAGTGATTTGAACAATATTGGGGACCAAACAATGGAGAGGTAATAATTCAATGGTGATGTATCTAAAGGGCTAGTGACAAATGATCTCCTTGAGGTTTTAAAGGAAATCAGTAGCGGAGACAGGAGTCAGTCTTATGCTTTCCATCTATGATATAGACCAAATAAGAATGAAACACAGAACAGGAGAGAAATGGATTTTGATACTTGCCAAATAGAGATGGAGCATCAATTTGAGAAAAGGCTGCATTTGTACTAATTCTTTCAAAGAGAAATGATCTGTCCAGGTAGATTCCTGCAAGTACTAGAGAGGTTTGCAAACAGAGAATTTATTATAGATACAACATATGAATCTGGGCACTAAACTAGGATTAGCCTTTAATATCCTGCTGATTGGTCACTTGAAAAAAATACCTGAACAAACAGCTTCTGGGTTATGTATATAAGGGGATCACCACATTTGAATTTTCTTTAGGAAAAACTAATATAAATATAAAGGGGTTGCACAGGACCAGTCCCTCCACAGTTCTGTTCAAACAGAGCAGATATCAAGATTCTACAAGCACTGCAGAACTCATTTGATGAAGTGAAGTCTTGAAATTGTAGGATGCAGTGTGGTTCATAATGAAGTTAAAAATTGATTTTGGAGGTGAACTGGAATTGTCCATTTCTCTGGAGGGAAGCCCAGAATTCAGTGGATTATTGAACAAAATATATGGAAGAACTTACTTTCAAAATAATTTCTAGACTAACCTCTCTTAGTTTAAATGTATAATGGTTGAAATATGACTTAATTTGAGAGTTTGAGCTATGCCATTATTTGAACCAATGTAAATTAGGAACAGATAACTCCAGGAAGGTAAGAAAGTCAAATTCAATTTAAAAGGAAAAAGGAACTGTTAATATAAAATAACCATTGCAAATTTGAATACACAACTTGAGAAATGCTAGGGTTCAAATTCTCAAATAATATTATCTTTGTCAACTATATATATTAAATTTAATTTGAATTTTGTCCAATTAATAATCCAAAATGGTAACTGTTGCTACAATGCTAAATTTTGCATTTTTTGACCTCTTGTGTTTACATTTATAACATTAATGTTGTAAATAGAGCTATATGCTTTATGCATTTAATCCTTTTACCTTCAAGGATGGGGTGGGGGCAACCGGAGTCTATCACCCAGCATCTGGAGGGGCTAGGATCTCTGAGGATACTTCTCCTGACTTATGCATTCATGTATCAAGGAATGCCTTGATGCATCAAGAGGATGCATTGAATGTAAACCTTCTAGCCCCAATGGGATGCTGAGTGGAGAACCGAGGGAAGGGGGGAGTATGTGGAGGGGAGGGGCACTTAGACTGCATGAGTGAGAGGGATATAATATTATACTCATTTTACAGATCGGGAAACTGAGACAGCAACTAAATAACATGCCCAAAGGCATACAGGGGACCATGACAGAGCCAGGAGTAGAATTGAGGAGCTTCTAGCTCCCAGTTCTGTATTCAGACCATACTGGCTCTCAAGAAGTAATATGCATTCCTTTGAGAAGAGAACAAGCAATGGCCTTAGAAGAGTTGTGCCTAAAATGCATCACTTTTGCAGACTTGTTTGAGACCGTATCGAGGTGTTTCCTGTGCAGAATGGCATTTTTAAAAGCTCTTAGAGCATCAGAGCAGATGCTGCATTTCGTATAAGGTTTCATATAACTGCATTTCATATCTGGTTTTCCATACAAAATGCATTCCAACATGCTTTAAAGTGGAAATAAAAGCAAGGGAGAGTGAAAATATGTATATAGGCAATGGGGAAAGCTATTTTTATATGAGATTTGAAAAGATGGAGTTACTGAGGCAGAAAGATACAGGAAGGCTAGTAACTGAATTATAAGGTGTATTAATTCTTGACTGCCATTGTCAAGGGGGAAAAAAGCCCCCATTTCAGCTGGTACGGATCTAAAGCTGTTGTACTTGAAGACTGTATATGCAATACACAATAGATGGTAGTTAATTTCAGTATGGTTTAACTGTTTGTCCAGTGTTTATGTATTTGTTACCTTCAGTTTTGTACTGTTTGCTAACTGTGCTAAACTGAACCTTGTGGAAATGCCTGTAGTAAAAAGGTGTATCAGCACCTCTGTATTAGGTTGGGTTCAGTTTTCTACTTGAAGCCGGGATTCAGCCTCTTGTTTATGTGAAGAATACAATGTATCTTCCTCAAACTTTACAGCACAGGAAAAATTGAAGTTTCTGGAGATTCTCAATTAATCCGTTTTTAAACATGAGACTTTTGAGAACATTTGTTTTCACCTCTTTTCTAACTAAAGGCTGGTTTATATCATTCGGACTGTCCAGTTAAAACTATTGAAATCTCATACACTGGCTACATTTGGAGAAATGTGCTTGTAATTAAGCAAACATATTAACAATTACTTTATCCGGTCTTTACCTTTACACTCATAATTTTCCAGTACTCAAAATGATTGCCATTTCCTCTGACTTTCACTGGGACTTAAGACACCCAGTTGCATTGAAGTTACTCCTGCCCTCAGTACAGATGTCTGTTATTTCACTAATGCCCTGCTATGTGAAAGTGAGGCTGCCATGTTGTTTCTAATGGGACTGAGGGCAAATGGTGCCCTTAGTAAAGGTGGCTGTCATTTCACTAAAGTCTTGCCTTTGGAACATGAGGTGCTGAAACCAATATGAAACACACTACAGTAATACAAAACCTTAACTATGATTTCATGTCTCCCCCCCAAAAACACACCACACACTTAACCTGTGAGTGTTGAATATTTGCTGACATTGTAATTAAGGTTTTGTGTTGTACTGAGCGGGAGATTAATGTGTTGTGTGTAATGGGCTTCCTTTTCACTTGGAGGCAGAAGAGTGTAGTGTCTGGTGCTGTCAGTGAAAATGTGTTGATGTGAGCACAAGGGTACTGTTAAGAAGTGTCCCATAATGTGATATTTTCCTTGCTTTTTTGGGTTTCATTGAGAGGATGTTACGATTAATCTTATATGCAGTAGTGTTTTAGCTATGTTGGTCCCAGGATATCACAGACACCAGGTGGGTGAGGTAATCTCTTTTATTGGACTAACTTCTGTTGGTGAGACAAGCTTTTGAGCTTACAGAGTTTACGCAGTCTAGACCTGAAGAACTGCTCTGTGTAAGTTTGAAAGCTTGTTTCTCTCATGAACAAAAGTTGGTCCAATAAAAGAGATTACCTCATCCACCTTGTCTCCACAATTAATCTTACGTGCTTACGCTCCTAAATTCCATTCACTTTCAGTGAGATTTAGGCACTTTTGAAAATGGGCATAGGTGCTTCTGAAAATTTTATGATGTGAGTGTTGTTGCCAAGTTTGCTAGCCTTTGCAAAGGTGTCACAGTTGAATACATTCTAATAAGATTCTTCAACCAGATTAAACCACACAAGCCACTGTTTATGCTAATAACCCATGTGAAGGATTTGAGGCTAAATGAAAGTGATAAACTTTCTTTTTGTTTGCAGATGATGAAAGCCATGAACAAGTCTAATGAGCATGTTCTAGCTGGGGGAGCATGCTTCAATGAGAAAGCAGACTCTCACCTAGTGTGTGTCCAGAATGATGATGGGAACTACCAGACGCAGGCCATCAGTATTCATAATCAGCCAAGAAAGGGTGAGATGGGACAGGTCTAAGGGAGCAGATGGAGGCTTTTCCCACCCAAAGCGCCTTGCATGACTTTCTTTTGTCTACTGTGCTGCCATTAAATATGTAAATATGCCAAAACAGGTTTTGCCTTTAATTCATGGACCTTCTGAAATTAATATTTAGCACAGAAACTAGTTACAATTGTATGATTAGAGAGCTCCTAATACTTGATGGGGGCATGGCTTCCAAACATGCAGCATAATGGGAAGGCCTAATGCAAATGTGTGAATGAGAAAGTGCCGTATTTGCCTCTGGATTACCCTGCCCAGCCTCCTGGCACTCCGTTTCCATGTCCACAGTTTAATCTGGTGTTTGAAGTACTGCATACTGTTGATGGGGATTTTTGTTCCCTATCTATGGTTCAGATCACACCTCTCTATGGTTACTGGTGGTGGTCAGTATTTGTCCAACTGAGATGTGAGTTGGCAGCTTGCCAGTTCAAGGGCCTCACATAACTGACATAAAATAAAGCAGGTTTTCACACCCCTCAGGGACGTAGTTATACAGATGTAAGTTTGTAGTGCAGATCTGGCCTTAATGTACCTAACCCCTCCTCACCGAGAACTGCAAGAGCTGTGTGTGTGTATGTTAATTAGACCATTTGATTTTCTGGCTTTATTTTTTGTTAAGACCAGGTGAAATGATGCAATAGCAACTTAACATTTTAATTCTTAAAATGTTAGAGCTTTTTTTTTTAACCAGACTTCATGTCAGAGTTGATAATCTTATGTAGAAGCTCCATGATGTCTCCAAATGAGTAAAAAAAAAATTTCTAACCCTGAACATTCATGATCTTCATTCACAACTTCAGGATATTCGTTGGCATGTCGGTTCCTTTAGGGCTGGCACTAATTTCTAAGTAGTATTTTCTGTACATAGAGCATGGGAGGATGGATTTCAAGGAGCTCTGTTGTGGTATTGGAGACACAATGGCCATTCCAAGGGCTTTTGCTTTTAAGCTGGCTGGCAGCTAGTTTAGAAAATTTGAGCCACTCCCCTTCTGACTGGTCAATAGTACAATGTCATCAGCAAAAAGCCCAAGTAAGATTGTTTCTAATCACCTGAGGACTTTTTAAAGGTCATAATGTGCATGTTTACCCCTAAAACAGACCCCTCATTCTTAGTGAAAAAGAAACTAATTAAATATTAACGTTCTTTAAGGTTGGCAAAAATTGTCGTCAGGTTTAGAATATCATCAGAAAGGGCACCCTTGCTGCCCAAGCATCTGATACACACGGGAATCATAACAACTTTGTGCTACATAATTCCTTATTTATGTTACTAACTTGTGAGGATACAGCTACAATACCTGATTCTTGCATAAGGCATTGCTTTGACAAGAGCCTCTCTAAAATCAGTCTTGTTATTGCAGTGACTGGTGCCAGCTTCTTTGTGTTCAGTGGAGCTTTAAAATCCTCTTCGGGCTACCTTGCCAAGTCCAGCATTGTGGAAGGTAAGGAATGAACAGCTTGCTCAAAGAACATTGCTTCCCTCCTGATAACTGTATATTTGAGCAGTGTGCACAGCTTAGTTCTTGTGCCCTGGGTATTTGAGAATCACTCTGATTACTCGGTGTTATCTCACGCTTTAGCTAAACACAGTTTTCCATTATGGCTCGTAACTTAATTTAACTGAGAAAATGAGAATAACTAGTCCAGATGCCCTGGGACACCAGTACAAGAAAATGAGGGTAAACGTGAAATACTTGGCTCCTGTGCTGGGGATCAGAGCTTACAATCTTTGACTGAAGTAGAAAATTGCAAGCATAAGAAACTTGGAGTTTATCTCCATAGCAAGAGATGAAGCCCTGCTGTTCTTTAGTCTGTTCATTTAATAGCCTTGCAGTGGCCAAGCTTATACATTTCTGAGGTTTGTATCCTAGTATGTTGTCAGGTGATAGCGTGAAAGGTCAAGATTGTTTAGACTGGGTTGTCACCATAGTTCATTTTTCCTTTGCCAACAGTCAGATGATGGAGCGGAGTCTCCAGTTTATGAGCTCTCTCCTATATTTTTGGGGGAGGGTCATGGTTTATAAAAGTGCCACATTAAAACAAGGCTGAGTATATGTTGTTTTGCTACATTCTTTACTTAAACCAGAAATGATTTTCTTTTAGTTCAGGATGCTAAGTTGGAAACTCATCAGTCGGAGAGTTGGGATACCTCAAGGAATTAGTAACTTGCTGTTTTATGGAACTGTTCGTTACCAAGTTACTTGTGCAAACACAGTTTATTCAGGCTGGTAATATCCAAAAGCTGTGACTTATTTTTAACAGCCTGTGTGAAATGAGTTGCTGGCCATGGTGGGATTCCTGGTGGTCAAATGCCCACATCACAAAAAACACTGTTACTGCTGGAGTCCTTCTTGCTGATCTCCTTGGAGGCCAAATATTTGCATGATCATGATGGTTTACCTCTCATATCTCGAGGTGGGATTTCCAGAACAGGGGTGCAGTGCAGTGGCAGGGTTGTGCACATAAGCTCATGGTTGCCATTGCTAACGTTGAACCTGTTCTGTAGGTAGACTTCAGCTTTCACTGGTACGTCCTCCAGGCCGCGTTCATAAATGTTACATGGTATAAACAATGTGTTGAGGATGGGAATGCTACTAAGCCGACAGCTTTCTATAGCGTTACTACTCATGGCCTTTCAAATAGATATTGCACGTTGACATTTAATCGTAACAGGAAGAATGCTTTTAGCCCTGTTGTGAATGTTCTCTCTTAAAAGTGGCTGTTGGTTGTTTCTGATAATGATAATTCTTGATTCCTTAGATGGTGTAATGGTCCAGATAACTGCTGAGAACATGGACTCCTTGAGGCAGGCTCTGAGAGAGATGAAAGACTTCACTATTACTTGTGGCAAAGTAGATGCTGAAGAGCCTCAGGAACATGTTCATATTCAGTGGGTGGATGATGACAAAAACTTTAACAAGGGGTGAGTAGATGAATAATCCCTTGACACTTTTACAGTGTTTATTTGGCTCTGTTTTGTCTGCTGCTGTGTGTCTGTATAGCTTACTAAGAGCATATTCTATCTATGAAGACTCCACATGCTTTGTGATTTGTAGAGTGCTCCAAGTTTCTCAGATAACATTTGTGACAAGATAAAGGAAGAGTAATCATAGAAGTGTTTGACTTTTTGCAAAATAATTCTTTATTATATATGTTTGTTAAAACTCTGAGGAGCTGATACTGAAAGGTAAAGAGTGACTTCCTCAAGTCAGTATGGATTGCACCATTGAGTTGCACCATTAGTTTGAGAGTTCAGACTTTTGTATCTGTTATTAAAATGGGGCTGAGGTAAATAGAACTTCAGTGCATCAGTTTAGAAAGTTATCAAGGCTACAGAAAGATTTCTGCTATTGCAAATTTCCAGTTATTTTAAACCATTATACTGGTTGTAAAAGGCCACCTAGCTGCTAATTTTTGAGTGCCGAATCTTGCACGCTAGGAAGGTTTCTTATTCCTTCCATTAAGCCCACGTTCAGTGGTGTTGTGGATAAAATCTGATACATGCTGGACAGCAGCAGTGAATCTAGAACCTTGAATCTGAAACCTTAACAATCAATGCAAGATGGTGAGTACATGGCAATTTAAGCATTAGGGCACGCAATGTGATGGGCGAGGTTGAAAACTCAAAGAAGCATGGATAGGAGCAGCAGCCTAGAAAAGGAGAGTGTTCTTTAGCTAAAGACATTTCACATGTGTTTGGGACTGTTTGTGAAGTCCCACAGAAGTCGCCATTTCAGGGCATTAGTTGGGCTGCTTGCTCTGTTAAATTCAGTGTAAGTAAGATTTTAGACATGACTGAATTGTACTATTTGATTTGATATTTATAAATAAATAAAATTCCTATCACTGTGCAATAAATCTACATAGGTTTCTGCATGTTCCATGTGTGGAGAGTTCATCAGTCCCTTGTGAGGTCACAGCTCAAATATAAGGCTATTGCAGATCTAAGGCAAGCTACCTCTCTACTCCCCAGCCTCAACTCCACCTAGTCTAGGAGGATTTCAAGTCTAGATACTATATCTGAGTGTTTCCAGTGTGATACGGCAGAAAGCACTGCACTTTTCAACTGTCTCCATTGTAATTATCTGGGGTAAACTCTCAACACAGCAGGAAGACAATTTCAAAAAGCCTGATTACTGTTGAGATCCATACACCTGTTCACACCACCACAATTGGAATTAGCGATGATATTCAGTAGCATTGTGTTTGGTACATTGAGAGAGATCTTTCTCTGGAGATCTCCCTTCTGGGATAGTTTGTGTTTGTCCCTTTTAGAAAATGTGGCAAGTCACTGTATGGCAGTTTAAATTGCAGAGTGCTCACTTTTGAAATAACCTGCAGTGGGGTCACTTTGAGAATCCAGGTAAGTCAAAACAAGTGCCCTTCGCAACCCTTATATGAGGTTTTCCTTTACAATGTCCTCTGTTCTGCAAATCTACTCAGATGGCCAAATTTGAAATCAGGTTTTATATGATGATATTTAGTGTTTGGAGGCATTCTGTTAACTTAAAGTTGTTTTTCCCTTCCTCTTTCTAGTGTTATAAGCCCCATTGATGGCAAATCCATGGAGTCTATAACCAGTGTGAAGATATTTCATGGCTCGGAGTATAAAGCAAATGGAAAGGTCGTTAGGTGGACGGAGGTAAGAAAACAAAACTAATCTGCACATAAAACAGGAGTCTTGGTGCTTTGTGACTAAGGAGCTATAGAATGTAGTCTCACTCTGTTAGAATGCCTCCCTTTGACCAGAAATCAAATCTACTTGCTCTGCCCACCAAACTGAAAGCAGTAAGATTTTTATGGGGAAACAACAGTAGACTTTGCACGAGGGATGTAAATATCCATTAAAAGAGTTAACTGTTTAAACAATTAAAATGATGTTGTTTAATTGCTTAACTGATTAAAAGGAGAAGGGCTGGAGCTGGCGGGCCGGCTTGGCTAGGGCTGCTCCAGCTGGCCGGTGCAGCCCCGGGGATGGGGGATAATGACACATGCTTCTGGTTAATTGTTTAGTATTTTATATCCCCTACTTTGCACCTGCCAGGAAGTCTTCAGTGACTGCATAATGTACAAGTGGCAATGTCATGCCATTTAAATCTGTCTTGAGGTGCTACAGAGCCCTGGAAATAAGTAACCACAGATCATTGGCCATCCCATGTAGTGCACTTTTATTGAGTTTTGGGAGAATCTGCATTCAAGTTGAGGGCTGAGGAAAGTGCTGTTGCTTTCCATTATCTAAAGGGCACAAGCCTGTGTAAAAGAGTCTTTTACTTTAATGGAGACAAAATCCCAAACAGTTTTTAAATATCAATTCTTTTGAGCTGCAAGCTGCATTTTCCCAGAATAATATCCATTCCGGGTGGTGTAGTCAAACTGCCAGTGCCAAGGAACTCAAAGCTGCTTTTATAAAGGATTGGGTTTTTTGTAATACTCAAACTTAATTTGCTCTTTATTGACCTATTAACAGTTTGGGAATGGAGCAACTTCAGCTCTGAAATGGCAGCAAAAACACAACAGGAAAAGATCACTCTTAGTGAATGAATTGTATGAAAAGTTAAAAACAAGGTGCCATAATATGAATGACTTGGGTTATTTGTTTTGTCACCCAGCATTGGCCATGGTGTTACTTGACTTACAGGGCTGACCTGGAGCTATGGATTTTGCCAGCATGGAAGTGTTAATGTTAAATGGTTCTTTGCAAACGGTTTCAATTAATTTGCTCAGTGTTAGCTGAGGGGAAACCAGGCCAGTTTTAGCTGTGCCACTCATCATACATGTATTCTTTTCCCAACATTCAAGGTGATTTGAGGGAATGTTGCAATGTTTAGTTAATAACTCTATAAAAAATTCTGGCTCCTTTCAGATTGTTTTTTTTTGTTTTGTTTTGTTCAGGTGTTCTTTCTGGAGAATGATGACCAACATAATGGTCTAAGTGACCCAGCAGATCATAGCAGACTGACTGAGAATGTGGCCAAGGCTTTCTGTTTAGCTCTCTGTCCTCACCTTAAGTTATTGAAGGAAGATGGAATGACTAAGCTAGGTCTGCGTGTTACACTTGACTCGGATCAAGTAAGTTGTAAATAGAATCTACTAGTTTAAGTTGTCAGTCGTCTTGTTTTGGGGGTGTGGAGAGAGGGAGCTGAAAAGGGGACATGAGAGTTCAACCATTCTATTGCTTGATTCTGGAGGCTAGGAATTGGCAACATTAAATGCCACTCTATTAGCACTTAATGCTGCAAAATAATTTTTTCTAGAGGAAGAGGGTGGTTTTTTCTTTCCTGTATTCATGTAATTTTGACCTGTCACTTCTTGTCCTCAAAGGAAACCTGTACAACACTTCCAAAAGATGAGCCTGGAACTTAAATTCATAACTGCTAGACACCAAAAAATCATGGTCTCTATAAAGAGACTGGTTTTATGGCTCCTCAAAGGCTTATTACAACCATGACTGCTGAGGTGTTAATTGCCTCCTCCATTTCAAGTGTTTTCTTGCAATATGTGTTAACCATTTATGCGTAACAATCTGTCCCATCTTGTATTTCTCTGTGACCCTCTGGTTACCTTTTCCAGACCTGAAGAGCCCGGTGAAGGCCTGTCTCTTCCAACCATAGAAGTTGGTCCACTAAAAAGAGATTACCTCACCCACTTTGTATCTCATCTAATTTTGAGGCATTTTTTGTTAGTTCACATTAGGTAGTGCTTTCTGCTTTTGACATCCATACTGGAACCCCTGAACTCTCAAAGCAATTGCATCACTTGCAGTATGGTCAGAGATCCCAGTGGAATACCTCCTCTTTTAAAGCTTTCACTTTGTATCTTTTAGGTTGGCTATCAAGCTGGGAGTAATGGACAGCCACTGCCCTCTCAATACATGAATGACCTGGACAGTGCCTTAGTTCCAGTGATTCATGGAGGAGCATGTCAGCTGAGTGAGGGGCCAGTCATAATGGAGCTCATCTTTTATATTCTGGAAAACATCTCATAAGAGGACTTCATTTTCTGTTCAGACCTGTTCCAGCAGCAGTTGTATCTGAATCATTTGCACTTTAAAACTGGAAGATTAAGCTTTTGTTAACACTATTGGGGGGAGGGGGGGAGTTGTTCCATAATTCTAAATCTTCTATGCATTGTCAACAAACAGAGGATCAGGGCAGCTTCTATACTACAAAATGTCTATGCTATCCTTGCAGCTCATACAGTTCTGTTACTGTTTAGAAAAATAATGCTCATATTTAAAGACTTAATTACAGTCATGTACTCTAAATGCTCAAACGGGTGCAAAGATCACTGGGGCGTAAATAAAAGATGAAATGTCAAATTTGTACTGTTTGTAGATGGACATGTAAGAAGAAACAATCAAGACCTCCATTCTGACCTCATCATTAATGCCATTTGTGGTTATTCTGTAGACATTAAAAAGTAATGTTTACATTATTTTGACCAGATTACTGGTTGAAGTACATCAGAGACACTTTAGGATATGCCTAGTGAGTTGCATGGGAAGGTTACCTAGCCAAAAAAAATGGCATATGAGGCTGCCAATCATTCAGTCTGAATGAAAGAAAGGGCATATCTTGGACAGTGGTATATAATTTAAACTTGCAGTTTTGTGTGTATATTAGGCTAGTATACTTATTTTTTCCCTACTTGTTATAAAAATTGTCACCTCAGATTTCTATAACCTAGAAAAACTTTGCCATTCTGTATTTTGTTTATGAATCTCAATGGTATACACCTGTCACAGGTAAAAGAAAAGTTAGCCCTAAAGTGCGGTTATGGTATTCCTGTTCCCCCAGTAGGTCCTGCTTTATAAAGAAAAGTAACACCCAGGGCACTTTTGTAAGTCTCCTCATTGCTGTAGACTGTAGTGTAACACTAGTGTCATGTAACACAATTTGCACTTAACACTTCATATTAGCAGCACCATGTAACGCTTACCCCCATAACAAAAGCACAAAGTGGCTGTTGCATGATGTGCTAAAAAAGAGGCTTTTGGTTCAGCTCAGAAAACTTGCACTTGGCCTCACCTACAAACAAAGGGCAGGTGAGAGGGGAGCAGCTGCTCACTTCTGCTACACAGCATTAGGAAAACGAGGAACAGCCAATACGAATGTGGTTCCACATTCTTTACTAAATCAAATTTCCATCCAAAGAACATGGCTAGTAAGTGGAAAGAGCTGAAAGCAGGAGTAATGAGCTAGTTTAGCCATGCATAGGCGCTGCTGCTTGACTGTTACGACCCTCTTCTTGGGGATGGGAAGAGATGAGAAACACTGTTAAAGCAAGTCTTTGAATCTGGCCAACTTTTAGTGGTGACCTCCGTCAATTCTGATTTGAAACTAATTTGCACTGTGGAAAGAGCAGCTTTTGCAGCAGAACAAAGGAACAGTAAAGCTAGAGTTAGGCTGATACAAGCAAATAGACATAGCAGAAGGGAAACAACTCTACAGGTAGCAATCAATGTATTTTACAAAAAGGTACAATAGCTGTATAGGTGCTGAATGGAATTGTGAATAAATGGCTACTGCTTTTTTAAAAACAGTAAAACTATCCACATACAGTCTAGAAAATTCCAGCTGCCACCTCAGGACATGTCTGGAAGGAAGAGTTGTAGAATTAATAAAAACAATCACTGGACAGGAGAGCACTTAGTCTCACTTTTTGTTTGCATTAAAATTCACCTTATCTCTGTCATTTGGTAATAGGTGGCCATGTGCTACTCTTAAAATGTTTCTGGCTGATCAAAGTTTAAGTTCCTACACAGCAATCCAAGAGGCTTCCTGCATTTTCATTTGTTTTGCTGTAAAGAAATGTAATTAAGTTTGACTTGAGTTATTTTGAAATTCCCTACAACACATTTTGTTTTTGCACACTCTTGAGTGTTGATATACATGTCTACAGAGTGTAAGTAAAGCTCTTTTGATTGACAACTACCATAAAATCCTACTGCTGGAAACTCCATTCCAGCACTGCCACGGCAGAAGTTTTTCAGTTACTTTAGTTCCATTAAGTTATGCTTATTGAGGCTAAAAAAACAATCTTCTCTTCCTTACCCCTAGGAGTCACTTAGGTTTGGGTTATGGTTGTGCAAAACACTATTGACTGGTGACTGACTTGTTTGCTTCAATCATAGCCTTTTAAATGACCTTAAAATTACCATATTGTTAAGAAAATGAGTACTTGTTTTAGAAAAAAATTGTACTTTTAAAATTCAGTTAGTTAACACTGCAAAAAACTGCATATTATATTTTTATTTTCAACATGTAGTTTTGTATATTAAATTTATTGAAATTAAAAACTAAATACTGTATTGTTTTAATCCTATCAGGAAGCAGAAGTGCTGCCTTTAGGTTGGAGAGTCTGTTGTCTATGAACTTGATCTACCTGACCATATGCTGCAGTAGCACTGACACCCCATGCAGGCAAAGCCTCCTTTTACTGTCAATCATTTCTTCAGGCTCATGTAGTTTAAGAACACACATCAAGCAGTTTTGGTACCATATCATTTTATGTATAGTCTATAAAAAATTCTGCAAACAGCAATGATCCAGTTTTCTACACAAATAAGAGTGGCTATTTTTCAATCAATTAGTAAGTCGCCTAGTGAAACACTCCAATCCTTCAGAAAACCCTGTCATGTTAAACAGGCCATATCAGGCTTTACTGATTCCCAAGCATTAAGAAAATGAAGGCACACAAAGCAGGCTGAGTTGGACTAAACAGTGGGGCGGGGGAGGGGGGGGAAAACAGGGCAGGCAACTGATAACCAATTCAAAACCCAGAGCTACAACCCTATTCTAAAAAAATCCTCATATCCTATTGTTCCCTTAAGCCAAGGCACATCTAGTTAAGAGTGCGGCAAGAGCATGCAGAGGAGATGGGATACACTGCTGCTAAAGCTCTGCTTAAAGTGAACTATTTTCTTCCTCCCAGGACACTTATAGGAGGAGCATACAGATCTTCAGAAGGGCCTGAGGGTGATCATAAGAGGAAGCAGTAGGTGGTATTCAATGCATAAGAGCATATATGCCTGAAAAAGAGTTGCTTCTAGCACAAGCTAGCCATGCTGGGAGCATAAGGTCTCATTTGCAAATTAATTACCTTGCACTGCTCCAGTGATTTTTTTTTAAGAGCAAACCATTACAGGTTTCACGCACCACTATGAAACAGTCCCTGCAGAGGATAGTTATGATGAGTTTATATAACATTCATCTGGTGCTAACATTAGTAGTCCCATCTTAAGGCAATTCAATCCATTTTGCATAGATCAGTTCCATTTTTCCCCACTAGTAGTAAGTTTCCAGGGCCTTACAATACTTGCCTTATAAAACTTAACACACACTAAGGTAGTTACCAAAATAAAGACATGTTATGTCCAGTAGTGCATTCATTTAACATCTTTGGTGCTCGCAGGTAGCAGTGTCCTATGTACAAACTCGATTCTGCAGCTTTTAGCATTCCTGGATCTGAAAAAAAAACATAACGTCTTGCCACAGTGCAAAGTATGTATCCCACAATTAAGGCTACATACTGTTGACATTGTTCTGTCTGATGGCTAACTCGCAGCCTTCAGAGAAATCCCAGGCAAAACTCTTCATTAAGTTACAGTTAAAGTGACTGAAGATAGACAGTGTTAAATTATAGGTGACCAAAAGTTAGTGCTCTCAGCACATCTAGTAATGTCACTGCTTCAAGTGTGTGGGCAAATACGTCTGCCCTGGAGTATCTTGAGGTCTACAGCCATGCAGCCAAACTTTGTACAGTATATCTCACAGTCACCCTGGTTGGCTTCTTAGGGTGGTGCTGAGTCTCAAAGCCCAGGTCAACTGATGAAGGGCTAAAACTAGCAGCATAGACATTCCTGCTTGGGCTGGAACCTGGTTTCTGAAATCCGATGAGGGGGAGAGTCTAGGAGCCTGAGTTCCAGCCTGAGCAGGAACATTTACGTGTCTATTTTTAGCCCCAGAGACTGAGCGTGAATCAACTGACCCAGGCTTTGAGATTCAGTGCTATGGGTTTTTTTTTTTTTGCAGTGTAGACATACTCTTAACTCAGCACTTAGTGATTTTCAATGCTCCAAATTTGGACCTGAGCACTAGACATCATCCAGATCTTTCAAATAATATATAAAGTCTGTGGTAACTAGGACATGATAAATCAGGATAATAGTCACCTACTTCACAGAGGTGCTATCTAAGCTTAATTACTATTTGTACTGCAAAATGAGCGATGCCAAGACAGGTGGGGGGAGAGAGGAGCCTGAGACTGCTCTGAACTCTAGGAGCCCAAGGGAAGGGGGAGGGATTACTGTGCATATACTTACATCATCAACTTTTTACTAGGACTGAGTGCTTTGGGGCAGCCTTTTTGTTCTATGTACAGTGTGGTCCGCAAATGGGCTCCTAGATGCTGTCACACTATAAATTAGTAATATCTGCTCAAAAAGTGAGCCGTCAATTTTTTTCTCCACAAGTACTGATGGCTTGCAGGAGCACTACTAAGCTTTATACCCATACACTGACAGGAGAGAGAGAACCTCCAGTGATTCACACAACAGGGCTGAGTACTGAGTAACCACTCTCCTAGGGGTTCATGAGCACAGCCCAAAGCTGAGAGAGCAGGGACAGTTTTAAGAATTACGGTTTCAGACAATCCATACAACTGGTACATCAGAACATTTTGAAGAAAAACTATACTTCTTGGTGTATAGTTACACACAAAATCTACATGTAAAGAACATCCAAGTTAATGCAAGCACTCCACAGACAGGAAGTGCTAGGTGTATACAGTTGCCCAGGGAATCTTAATCCAGCTCCCTTGTGCATCCAATTCGTACACTGAATGAGGTAGGGACACTGTGGAAAAATTGTATGTGATCATGTAATTAAGTTATGCACAAGGGGGCTGCATTAAGATTCCACAGGCAGCTTTACATCTGGCATTTCCTAACTTTCCTTCGAGTAGATTTCTTTGTATGTAAATTTATTCTAAAACAAAAGGTTAAAAAGAAAGATACTTCACAGGGGGAAGAGATGCTATCTAAGCTGGATCCAAAATGGTGGATGGTAGGAGGGGAACCTTAGTTTGATTCTTCCCCTACTCGCTACTGCTACAACTGTTTTGCCAGCAACCAGATGTTCCCTCTACAGTGTGTGCATGAGCCCAGTTCTTCAGAATGTTCAAGTTGTTATTTTGGCATGATACTATTATTTCCTGAAGAATGCAAGTAACAGAAGGGAAATGGCAATTTCAACAGTTTATACCACAGCTAAACATAAATGAAATTTACTAGACAAAGGTAATTTTTCTAGCCCAAGGCCTTTCTTCCTGCTAAATTTCAACAGTCTTATGCAAACAATAGGAGGATTAGGAAAAAAAGACCAAAAGAATCTTTTATAAATGAAAGTGTTAAGCAATGTAAGTTCAGGAATTGCTACCAGTTCCCGCTATGATATTTAACCTTCACATCCAATTGGTATAGGGAACACAATCAGATTTTGAATAGAAATAAACATTTAAAACAATCACTAGAAATAATAGGGAAGATCCATCTAGGAGCCTGAGCCACACAGGTAGGTCACTGACCGTGTAAGACATTCTATTTCATGCAGAGATTGTTAGTGGCTCTCAACTTCTAGCCAGAAGCACAGTTGGAAGAAAGGAGTGTTCATACCTTAGGATAACTAATGTTCAAGGATCAACCAGTTTTCTGTAATTGTTTGAAGATCTTGACCACTGAGTGGCTCCCTGAGTCTCACTTTCACCTCTAGTTTCCCTCCGGTGGGCTTCCTACCATCCAGAATCTGAAAGCACCACAAAAATAAGATTGCTCTCTCACACACACACACACACACGTGTGTGTGTGTGCGTGACAAAAAGAAATACTGTAATGTCTTGTGGCAATCTCACTGAAAAGGGCAGCTGTTTTATGCCTCCCATGTGGTTATACAGGATCAATATAAATGTGCTATAACACTGACATTCAATAGAATATTCAACAGGGCTGGGTCGGTTTGTATTAAAGAAAGGCCTTTCATAATAGCCGAAGTTCTCTGAAAAATAAATGGATTTAACTTTTATATTCTTGTATTTATTTACCAAGACACACAAGGGATGTGTCTGGTATTTTATTTGCAGACAGTATTAAGACCATGTCTACACTAGAGTTTTGTTGACAAAAGTTATGATGCTTTAATTAAACCGCTGTTGCCTGTCCACACTATGCTCCTTGTGTCAACGAGTGCATCCTCACTAGCAGCTCTTGCATCGACACAGAAAGCAGTGCATTGTGGGTAGCTATCCCACTTCAACTGGCCACAGGATGCTTTGGGAAGGGTTTGCAATGCCTCATGAGGCAGTTACAGTGTCACATGAGGCCGGTTTCTCAATCCCACCTAGATTACCAGCTGATTTTCAACTGAAGTATGTGCGTATGTGTGTGTGTAGAGACAGAAACAGTGTGTGTTGGGGAAGTATGTGAAAGACTGTGTGGGGGGGGATGTATATGTGAGAGCGACAGAGAGTGTATTTGGGAAGTGTGTCAGCATACTGTCTCGTGCTCTTCAGACAGCCGCTTGAGCAATCAATCCTGGGGGAAGGGGACACCCCCCTCCCCCATCAGTCCCTGGCTCTGCACAGCAGTCTCTCTGCCCCCCTTCTCCCTCAGCAGCAGCCTGCTCTGCCTGCCTGCCGATTCCACATTAATGGGTCTGTGATTCCTTCCGTGGTCTCCCACAGCCTCCTTAGCTACTGGGAGCGGCATCCTCGGCAGCTCCGTGAGCTCTCCACGCTGAGGAATGTCAGAACTTCGAAAGGGAGCTTCGAATGTTGAAGCTTCGAAAGGGGAGATGCACAGGCTTGCAGGGCAGTGGAGTTCAAAACAGTGAGCAGAGCGGGCACGGCAGGCATCGTGGGAGACTAACTTTGCTGCAAAAAACTTTATGCCTCTCATCGAGGTTGTTTTATTTTACCGCCAAATATAGCTTTGTAGTGTGTACACCTCCCCTGTTTTGTTGGCAAAAGCTGCCTTTTGCTGACAAAACTGTGTAGTGTAGACAAGGCCTTAGTTAGATTAATAATTTTATGGCCAGAAGTAGTAGTTACTCTCCTTGTGAAGTAACAAGATTCGAGTCCCTGTGGATGCTCCACAACCCCTCCCCCCCACTTCGGGTTCTCATCATACACTCTGTGTTGGAGAAGGAACTGAGGAGGGTTCGCCCGCGCAATGCTGGTTAGACACGTGGGAGAGCGCAAGGAGGGGGGAAGCAGCGCATGCGCAGGCCAAATAGACACTGCTACCAAAATTCTCCGATCAGCAGCGCAGGGACGCAGACACCTACAGTGGAGCACCCCTATGGACACTACTTAAAGAAGAGCCATTATGACCATCCAGCTTGACCTCTTGAGTAACACAGGCCATAGAATCCCACCCAGTCATTTCTGCATCAAGCCCACAATTTTTCTTTGAGCTAGAGCAGATCTTTAGAAATATATCCAGTCTTGATTTTAAGATTGCAAATGATGGAAAAGACACAACCTCCCTAGGGGAGTTGTTCCAATGGTTAATTACTCTAATTGGTCAGGAGTGAGCTATCTTATTCCTTTTATCACACAAGAGGGAAGGGGTGAGGTTGTAGCATATGTAATAAACAACAATAGAACATATTAGTCTGATGAGGTTTTTACTGGATGTTGTAGAGAGGAGGCCAAGATGACATCTTCTAGGCGTGTATGTATATATATATCTATATACATATATCTATCTATATATCTATACACACATATATATATATACACACACACATACATATATATATATATATATATATACACACACACACACACACACACACACACACAAATAAATATGTAGCTCTCACTACACCTGAATGCTCTAACATTTTGTTATTGCTACATCAACAGAAGAACAAAGCATACCTCAATTATCTCTCTAATTTCACATTCTGATTCCAGTTTGTCCAGTTTCAAATGTGCTGTTCCCACTTGCTTGTCACTTCTGAAAAGGCCCCTGTTTTAAAGAAAGTTGCCTTAGTGGAAGGAGGACAGGCTTTCTTAACACATCAAAAGAGACGAATGGTATGAGGTCATGCCCCCTTTCATCAAGGTTTTAGGATCGTGACAGTAAGGGCCTGGCTACCCAGCTGTACTAAAATGGAGGAACAAAGGATTAAAGTCTTTAATCAATTAAAATAGGAGAATTAGAAGAAAAGAAAAGAGGTGAAAACTCAAAGTCATGGAGTAAAAGAAACAAAGGCTTGGCCTAGCACTCTAATGACAGGACCCTTCATCACTATGCAGGAGAGTCAGACTTTAGAACAGTCGTAGGACACCCACTCTCCCCGACTGTCCTGGATACCCCATAATCAATCAAGACCTTTGTGGGGGAAAATCAGCTGGACAGAAGGGAACTGTCTCCAACACAGGATATGCCAAAGAAGCTTCTACAAGACATTACTTATTAGAGCTGGTTGAAAAGAAAGTTTGACAGAAAAGTTTTCCATTGGAAAATGAAGTTTCATCAAAATCTAAATGTTTTGTGGGAAGTGTCAATTTCAACAAAATTTGACAGGAGAAAATGAAAAGCAATGGACTTTCTTGTTTCATTATTGTCAAAATCCTGTTTCGATAAGGTGGTAGAAATGTTTTGTTTCAACTTTGTCCTTTCAATTCATTTAGTTTCAAAAATATTAAAACATTAATTTTATTCTATTAAATATCTTCTATAATAGTTTAAACATTACTGAAACCTTTTTGAAATTAAAACCCTTTTTTTTTCAAAATTTCCATTTTGTGGAAAATGTTAACATTTTGTTTCAATTCAGAATGAAAACAATTCTGAAGTGTCAGTTTTCCACATAATGAAAATTCCATTTTCCAGCCAGCTCTATTATTTACATAGCACTGTCTCTTTGTATGGCATTTTACAGAGCATGGCACTTACAAGCAAGTAGTAGCCAGAGAGAGTCTGGAGCTAATGCAGTCCTCTGAGGAATGGTCAAAGGGTAACCCAGGTTCAGAGACCACACCACATTCTCATACCTGCCTGGCTCAGATAGCGACAAAATACTTTGAGACAGGCACATACTGACTGTCAAGGCTGGAAAAGTGATTTTATGGAGCTTAGTAATACACAATTCAAGATCATGATGGGAACCAGTGTATGCTGGAATGACTAATGGTTCCCAAAGAACATGGTATTGGGAGAACGATTAGAAAAATTCTCCTCAGTTTCTTACAGCTAAACAGTTTTATAATCAGTGACCTGTCTTTCCAAAGTGTTAGCCTCGAGCCCCATGGTCAAGCCATTTTGTAGAATCTTGAGTGGCCATTATTTTATATAAATTTATCTTGATACATCTCACTTGTAGTATTTGAACCTTGGCTGTTGACGCTGCAGACATAATTGTAAGTTTCCTTCAGGATTCTGAGTATTTATTATCTTCTTTCAAATGTCCACATGACTCTAGCACATTCCTTTCCATTTCCAGGTGGATAGTTTTAACAGCACCAGATATGGGCCCTGTTGCTGTACATCCTTCCCTGTTGGGAGCATGAGGGGAGATTCCAGTATATCTAAATAATGCCAGGCCAAGAAGTGGTGACCAGAATAATTGTGCCTTGTTCCTTTTTGTGACCTTCTTTACCATTTTCATTATCAGCAGAGTGGGAGGCATAAATGAGATCCTCCTGAGATAAGATTTCCATAGTCTGATTCAGTGCAATTACTGGCTGGAAGGGAAGCATGAAATTCTGCAAGGTCCCACTGGGTATTCGTGCATGAGATCAACATGCCCAGGGGCTGAGTTAGGGATTTTAGTACAGAAAGGGGGGGAGGGGAAACAGTGTTTGACAAATCAAAGACACTATCTTCCGCTTCCTCTCTTCTGAGATAAAGACTATCCTGGCCAGCATCCAGAACAACTCACAGATGCTGGAGATTTGTGAAGGTTGTAGCTGGATCTTCCCCCTTCTTTATTTCAGAGCCACGTTCCTGAAGAGATATAATGATGGTTGCTATGCCCTGCTATGACTTTGGATGAGGGTCTGATGAGATGGTCATCCAGAAAACAGGTAGATGTGGGTCCCTTTCTTTTGGAGGGAAGCTATCAGGACAACTGGGATCTTCATAAATACATGTGGATGTTGTAAGTCTGAAATGTGAGTGCTCTGTATTGAAAAGTGTTTCCTGTTTAAGAAAAACCCAAAAGGCATCTCCACTGATGACAACTCATTAAATCTGAGGGAGATTTATCATTACATACTGAAGATATAGAGTGTTGGAAGGATGTTACTGTAATGTCTCTGTTGGTTTGTTTCAGAAATGTGTGAAATTCAGTATGCCTTGCATGGCTGTTTCTCTTCTGTAACACAAAAATACCTGATTGTGCACCACAACACTTGTTTCTCCCTGGAACAGGCTCTATCATTCTCAAATATAAGGAGGTCTACTGCACATTTATTTTCTGAGGCTATAAGGGATTTTTCTAAATTAGAGGAAAAGGGTAGACATGACCAAGATTTAAAAAAAAAAAAGTTGAAAGTCAGGGGGATCAGCACTTCTAAAAATCAGACCATTTAATTCAGATGTCTGTGGGCTTGGGAGCCTAATTTTAGGCACTCATTTTTTAAAACCATGGCATTGTTCCTTGGAGAAGAAGGTAGATCTACTGAATCTACTCCTCTGATTATGTCAAGTACCTACTTTTCCTCCATGGTTGATTCTTGGGTCTAACCTCCCAGACAGGGGGGGCCAGATTCTGCATGACACCTTCTCAAAGATGCAACACAGAAGGCACAGCCACTGCAATGGTGCAAAAGAGCTTAAATAGGGCCAGAAAATGGCCCAACATATCCTCAAACTTTGGGAAACCAAAGTCCTGTGCAGGTTTCTAAGTTATGGTTTCTATAGAAGCCTATTATGTATCTTCCAACTCCCCAAAATGTTTGCCTCTTCCTAGTGTGTGATATCTATGCTGGTTCTTGGAACAGTGGTAACCTTAAAGAGAATATCCGCTGAGGTAATATGGACTGAAATCTCTGATTGGAATGAGAGGAATGTGGGACTTTTTCCACCTTGTCCAAAGTCTCTGTGTCTGCTTTAATCTATACGCTTCCCAAACAGTCTGTATCACTGGAATATATAGAAGACATCATCTGATGTTGGAAGCAATTTTGCTGTGCATATGTTATGTTGTGCCCCTGTGGGTTGTCAGCAGCAGAGACTGAACCTGGGACCTTTGGCTCTTAAAGCAGGAACCTCTATTGTTTAAGCTAAAGGACCCAGGTCCGTTACCCAAAGCTGTAGCAGGCTGATGAACCTTCACATGCAACCCAGCCACCACTAGATGGAACAGTGTACCACATTGAATGGGTGTGGGCTACACAGATGGAGCAACAGATGCTGCCAGGCCACCACACTGGAAGCCTTGGAACATGCAGCAAATTGTAATCAGGTGAAGCATCTGAAAGCTATTGCTAGGGAAATTTAATTTAAAATAGATTTCATTTTGTTTTGCCCTGATGGCTTCACATTTCTGTAAGCTTGCCCATCCAAGCAAGAGTAGCTCTGGCAAAACAAGAGGATGCAGTCAGTGCTGCCAGAGCCAGAGGCACCGATGATCCAATTTTCCTGTCTCTGGATTCCTTTGGCAGAAGCTCTCTCTCAGATGGTGCAGACCTTTACTGATGAAGCTGCACTGACATGACAAAGTCCTATAGGAGCATGTAGAATTGTGAAGTTACCTGTTAGTGTGTTTCATCTTGCTAGGAAATTTCCTTTGTGTTATTCACAAGCTGATCATAAACCAGGTGAAGAGGAATTAGAGAACTCTCCTTCAGCAGGTTTTTGGTGTTTTTTTCTTTTGTTCATGTTTTTAGCTCTAATTATATTTTGTTTAACACAAGAGCCTGCAAAGACAGACCCCATCTCTGATTAATTCTGGGGAGTCCACAGCTGAGAATATGAAGTGTCTCACTCCAGGCCATGGCTTCAGAAGTTTAATTTGCTCAGAACCAATTTTAATAATATATTGCATATGTCTTCTGGTCCCAGGCAGAGCATGAAACATTTTAATTCAATTTGGCCACATTCCACCATTTCTAAAGTAGACGCATTCGAATACGGAGCATACCCACAGTAAATATTCATTTCCATGGCATTGTAATGGTACACCGCCCAGCATATTAGGAGTGTGATGCCAAAAATACAGTAAGAGGAACTCTTGGAACACAGGCTGGAAAGTTTCTAAGCAAGAGTTGTGGGTGGGCTTTAGGATTGGAATGTATTAGGGAATGGGCAGGTTCCAAATGAATGCTCTGAAGGAGAGTGAAAGTGCCACACTTCAGGAAAGATGTGGATAAACTGAAGAAACTCCAAAGAAAAGCAACAAAAATGATAAAAGGTTTAGAAAACCTGACGTATGAGGAAAAGTTAAAAAAAAATGGGGCATGCTTATTCTTGAGCAGAGAAGACTGAGGGGGGGAGCTGATAATAGTCTTCAAATATGTTGAGGGCTGTAATCAATTGTTTTCCATGTGCACTGAAGGTAGGACAAGAAGTAATGTGCTTAATCTGCAGCAAGGAAGGTTTAGGTTAGAAAGTTTTTCCTAAAATCTAACTATAAGGGTAGTTAGGTTCTGGAATAGGCTTCCAAGGGAGGTTGTGGAATCTCCTTCATTGGAGGTTTTTAAGAACAGGTTGGACAAAACTCTGTCACAGATGGTCTAGGTTTACTTGGTTTTCCCTCAGTGTAGGAGGCTGGACTACATGACCTCTTGAGATCTCTTCACCCTTACATGTCTATGATTCTAAGAGCTATGAGGGATACTTTCCCCTCTGGAAAGGCTTTTAGACTTCAAAGGTGCTTTGAAGGCAGTGGAATAGCCTGATGTATAGGACAACAAGGAGCTGATCCCTGGGCCAAATCACTGAGACGAGACCAAAGGAATAGTGTCTGCAGGTGTTTCTTTAAAAAAAAAATAACATTACCACTTCATCACCGTTGAGGGCAACAGGGAGGTAGGCCCATATCCTCAAAAAGTAGAGGAGAATGAGAAGCAGAGCGAGACACACAAGACAGAGGAGCTGCCAGTATCTGAATAAGGAGCTGGCACCTTCTTCAGTAGCTCAGGCATTGTGGGTAAGCTGCTGGCAGAAGAGATGTTCCACAGCATTCTTACCTGGCTTGATAAAGACCTCATCTACATGCTGCTGGAATATTCTATCTTTGCCCCTGGAATCTGTCTGGAGAAAGCTGAGCAATGGCATTTCTTGTTCCACTCCTTTCCCTTACTGTCTGTCATTTCTGAGGCGTGCGGAGAAGGTGCTGCCCCATAAACCCCTGAGAATAAATCTCAAAACCAATCAACACAACCAGAGGGATTTACTTTAAAATCTTTTACAAATCTTTTTAAAGGCTCTGGGTCAGACTTAGAATGAAATTAATAGGCAGCAGGTTTAAAAACAAACTAAAGGAAGTACTTCTTCACACAATGCACAGTCAACCTGTAGAACTCTTGCTAGGGGATGCTGTGAAGGCCAAAGCTATAACACGGTTCAAAAAAGAACTAGATAAGTTCCTGGAAGATAGAGTCATCAATGGCTATTAAGGGATGCAACACCGTGCTCTGTGTCCCCCAGCCTCTGTTTGCCAGAAGCTGGGAGTGGACAACAGGGGATGGATCACTGAATTGCCTGTTCTGCTCATTCTCTCTGAAGCACCTGCCATTGGCCATTGTCAGAAGACAGGATGCTGGGCTACATGGACCATTAGTCTGACCCAGCATGGCCATTCTTATGTTCTCTGCTGCAGAGGGACACCCAGAGTTTGTCAGCTGCACATGCCTGGAAGCTCAGAGCTCTGGAGAGTTCTTCTGAAGGGGTATTTTAAGCCTGACCCAGAGCCACATACCTCCGGCTGCTAGGGGGATGGGAAATGCTCCTTGAGAAGACCATCAGGACATGTAGTGGACAAAGAAAGGTTAAAACAAATGTGAACTTTTTCAACAAAGACGGCTGTGAGGTACCCCAATACTAAAATCTTGAAACAACAACAGTGATAGTTGAGCAGTCAGTGATGATGTAGAAAAGGGGAGAGGGCTCAGGGGGAAGAGGAGAAGAATCAAACCTGCCTTCATTAGGGACATAAATGGAAGATTTAGATTTAAACAAAATAAGCTTTTAAAAAAAAGTTAATATTTTCCTTGTTCATAAATTAACTTTTGTAAACAGAAAGCGATCTCAGAACAGTTCTGTACATGCCAGCAAGAGAAAAAGAACTGCACAAGCACACAGCCATTGAGATGGACAAAGGCCCATTATCCAACATCTTAGCTTAATAACGAGTCATTAATTTACCTCAGAATTAATAAATCTAGATCACTCCAGTACTAATGGATTCAAAATGAGCCCAGAGTTAGGACATTTTCTCTTCACATTTTTAATTGTTAACTTCCTTTTCATCTGCTGTCTGTCTAGATATTTCTAAGGCCCCCAATCACTGTATTATCTGAGCTACTTGTTCATAGCAAGAAGAAAGGTGCATCTCATGTGTCATTGAGATGGAGCTTTGTCTAGTGGTTAAGCACAAGACAGGGAATTAGATCTGGATTCTCTTCATGGCTCTACCCTGGAATAGCTGTGACCTTTGGAAAGTCATTCAAACCTTGCTATGCCTCAGTTTCCACATAAGATTGAGGTAGGTGGTATCCTCCAAGAATGCTGTAAGATTTAATTCACTAGTAATGGCTGGAGAGTGCTTTGAGATCCTCAGATTCGGGCACTACAGAAGTGCAAAAGTATTATAATTTGCAATTATTTATCATCCCTTTTACTATTAGTGATTTGTCAATAGATTATTAGATGTTTGTGTGTGGGTGAAAGAGATAGACCAGCAAGAGCCAAGTTTGATCATCTACTCAATTTGAGACTTAGATACAACAGAACCTCAATAATCCACAAATCTGATGGTTTCACTCTACAACTCAAAGATCTTGTAGCAGAAAGCTGCAGTGAGGTGCCATCTCACCCAGATTTCATTACTTTATAAAGTTAACCCACACAACATTTAGTAGAATGCACTGAATGATCACAAATAGTTCAAACCAGGCAGCACTTATTAAAGTAACATGAATGAAATACATTTTGATGCTGTATCTTTTATTTCTTCAACTGGATTGGTCAGTGCTTGTTAACTGGTAGAATGCAGTAATTGACAACTGAGTGCACATTAGTGAGGTTTTACTGTGTTTTGTAAGGGAAGTCAGGGTGCTCAGATACTCTTTGATGTAATCTGGAGACATGGCAGCATGACAGCTGTTTACTGCTCAACTGAAGAAAGAAAGGCAAATTAAATTAGCGTAATTCCTAAATTACAAATACTGCAAACAATTCTGTCATTTTGTTACCTCACAAGTTCACTACTACTGAATCAGGATGGAGAATAAAAGCCCTAGACTTACCCTTTGTGAAATATTTCAAACTTAATTCCCTTGGTCTGAATCACTCTTCGGAAGCCTCTGTGATTTCGGTTAATGGTCAACTTGAACAGCTGATCATATTCTAGAAACAGGAGGAAAAAAATGTGAGAATTGTGAAAATCATCAAATTAAGCGACTAGATCTTTTTCAGTGATGGACACATTGCATTCAGAACTTTCAGCCTACTGCAATTTGGCCTATGTAACACCACTTCACACTTACATAGCAACTTCTATCTCAAAAGGCCAAGGCGGTTTCAAATGTTAATGAATTAAACCCCACAATACCCCTCATTATCATCATCCCCACTTTACATATCTGAAGAAGAAATTAAGTGATTTTCTCAAGGTCACACAGCAAATCAGTGGCAGAGCCAGGAACAAAACACCTAGGTCTCCCAGCTCTGTGCTTTAACCATAAACTATCCTTCCTGGAGCATAAGACAAAGATCCAAAATGAGAGATAAAAAATGACTAATTCAGGAAAATAAGGATAACGGGCAATGTTTCACCAGCATAAATAACATCAGGGTAATTATGAACCACCAGAGATAGAAACAAGGGGACAGATTCCAATCTCAGCTACACTGTTGTAAATCCAGAGTACATGACTAAGAAATAGGGATCCGGCTTTTTTAACATGATTTTTGTAGTTACTATATTGAAAATTAGAAACAAAATGCTTTCAAACTTCAGGGGAAAAAAAAAAAGCTTGGAATCCTAACCTCAAAGTTTATTACTCCCAATCATAAACTAGTGTTTTGGAAACTCAATGCAATTCAAATGACGTGGTATGGAAGAAAAAAGGAGGGTAAACAGAATGACACAAATTTAAAGTTGACCTGCAAAGGAAGAAGACTTGGGCTTGTAACTTGTTTTGCTTCTTTATTATGTATAAAGAAAGCCTGAAGGGATTCTTTAAAAACAAAAACAAAAAAACAAGGTTTTTCCTCCCTTTTTTTTTTTTAAATATTAGAAATAAGATCTAGGCTGAAAGATTCTATGACAACTATTTAATTTAAATGGTAAATGAACATTTTGGATAAAAGAAACCTTTGTTAAAGATTAAGTGCCTCTACCCCTTCAATTAAGGTGAGAGCTCACAATACATTTGCTTCTGAAACATCTAGCAAGTAGGTCCTCCTGCAAGAATCTAGGAAGACCAGACTTGACATTCCTGCTATTTTAAAAAGGTAAAAACAAGTAGGGGAAAAACCCACAAAACTTGGTTTGGAAAAAACAAAGTACCAAAAAGGGGCACAATCCCAATTTTTAAAAAGTCCTTTGCTAGTCATCTTTAAGATCTGCTGTGTTGTGAAGGCAACATTTCTAACATTAGCAGATCAATACAAATGATTAACAAGATCAGTCAGGCTCATCCAGTCACTACCCTCGGAACAAATGATCAGAAAGGAAATAAAGTGTGATCTCTGAAGATTCGTAAGTGAATTATTTATGCATCCTTAATTTGTTTTTTTTGTACTGGTCTGTCGCCTAACAGGGCTACTATAGTAGCCCGAACCTATTGGATGTAGCAAAGGCTCAGTGGTACTGAGCAACAAGATCATTTGATTAAGAAGTGACATGAACAATGGCTCCCTGCACTCGATGAGGGAGAGTGGGGATAGAAATTTAAACTCCTACAGCAACTGGATTTATCCTGACAAGACCTCTGGTAACTGAAGAGAAAAGCACAGTCTGCTCTCCTAGCATGGCTTACAGTGTGGGACTAGCCTGTACTCCAAAGTGGTTTTAAGGTGCAGAGTTTCACCCCTTTCCCCAGAACAGATACAAACCTGGAGAATTGGTATTTTTAATTACTGCCGTTTTACTTTTCTGAGCTTGTTCCTATTAAAAAAAAGAAAGAAAAAGCAACATTTACATAAAGCCACCAACCGTTGTTGCAAATACTGCTAATATGAAGCAGCAACCTTTTTTTTTTCTTTTTTTAAACATATATGAAGCACTTGAGTTGCCCGGCATCATAGCAAAGCTATTTGGTGCAAATGGAGAGAGCTGACCCCAGTTCTCTCTGATAAAAAGATTCCAATAAAGTTAAAAGGTATAGTGTATAATATTGTAATATGACCCTTCCTAATGTACGAACAGAGACTTGGCCAGCCACAAGGAAATAAATCAGTATGTTCTCCACTATGGAAATGCAGATGGTGAGATGGTCAAATGGCTGGACATGCAATGATAAGAAACAAAATGAGGTTGTGAGGGGCCTAATATGGGTCACCCCAACTGAAGACAAGTTGAGGGAGGCAAGGCTACATTGGTATGGACATGTCCAGTGGAGACCTGAGAGTTGTATTGGAAGGATGGCCCTTGCAATGATCATGGATGGAAGATGACCAAGGGGAAAGCCAAAGACTTGGTACATTGACCAGATATCAGCAAACATTAGAAGAGACCAATTTTCACGTCCAAACCAGGTGTACAATCATGAGTTTTGGAAGTAGGTGATACAAGACTCTGACCCCCAAGTAGGGACTGGCAAGGAAGAAGAAGAAAGAGCTTGAGTTATAGGAGGTTATCGAGGGTAAAAACGGCATGGGCGCATTTATGATTCCAATATTTCTATTTCATTGTGGTAACAAATGTAACTTTAGAGCTAGAAACTAGCCAAAAGGAAATATTAAACACAAGTGCTATAGATAAGTGATATGGCCACACCTGATTCAACACTCTCATCATAAAACTAATTGGTGCGGCTATGAGACATGATAAACGGTGCACATTCTACTAGGCTATCATTCTATTCCTTCTACTGGAGCTGAAATAAGAAGCAGCTTTTGGTGCTGCACAAGGAGTCCAATGCAAGTCATTCAGGGAATTTGCCAACGATTATTCTTCCTGACAATCACTCTGCCACCAAAATGAATTAACTTTTAATGCAAAGCAGAGTATAAGCCAAATGTCCTTATTCACTCTCCAGAGAATGTGACCTAATTATCACAGCTACTTTGAAAAACTGATTCCAGCTATGAAGGAGAAATAGGTATATTTAATTTTTTGGCTAAGATGTAGTGATCTGGCTTTTTGAACACTGAAAACGAGAGATTAAAAACAGCTATACTGGCTTTATATATATTACTTATAAAATTACACATACAGGCCTGATTTTGTTCCATTATGCTGGTGTAAATCAAATGGAGTGACTCCAGATTGACAACCATGTAACTCAGATCAGAATATGGACCAGTCCAAGTCTCTTTTTTGCACCAGGTTTTTCCGCAGGTAATTTAATAAACTTCAATAGAGTTACTACAAGTTTACCACGAGGTCAGAATCAAGTCCTGTATATTTAAAGAAACCCGGGGGGCTATGATCACATGCTGCTGAGAGCTAGAAAATTAGGGCTAAATCTTCTACACTGTTATAGATATATTGCACCGGGGAGTCAGTGACAGAAGCCCTGGTACATCTTCTGGTACCAGAAGTATACATGTAGAGTCCCCCCTTAGCACAGACTGCTGCACTCAGAAACTGGGGAAGAGGTATAGCACCATGCACTGAGGTTCGAGTGGCAGACTTCTTTTCATTTCCTGGTTTGCCTCACATTTTTGTTAAGACAGATAACTGACTCCCCACCTGTGTCAGCTTCTTTGGGGCCATCCCACCTCACAGGGTAAACTGTGTAATACCATATCAATCCACAAACTGTCAACATTAAACACACACACACACACACACACACAAGTTGGAAAAAAATCAATCCTGAATGCAAGGTGTAGTCTGTGCGCGAAGTAACAGTATTTTAACAGTAACGGTATTTTAAAACAGGTTAGACAAACATCGGTCAAGGATGGTCTAGGTATATTTCATTCTGCCTCAGCGTAGGGAATGGACTAGAGATCTCGTGAGCCCTTTCAGCTCTGCATTTCTATGATTCTATTCTCAGGGATTCTCATCAAGATAGTTGGAAAGTAGGGGCTGGCACCCATGGTTTTCCAAAGAAAGCGGAAAAAATAAATCTGAAATCATTTTGGCGGTAGTATTCAAAGGTATGTGTGTGGGGCGGACTTTCAAGGTCCAATAACATTTACATCTTTAGGGAGAGGGAGAACCTGAAAAGCTAAGTCTCAGAAGGCCCCAGTCAATGTAATGACAAAAATACCCTGAATTTTACTAGCAATTATATAAACACAGACAAATCATCTGAGAAAAGGTTACTTATATGGGCCAGATCCTGTCCTCAGAGATCCGAGCATCTCCCACTGACCACAGTGGGAGTCACATGCATTTATATGAGGGTAGAGTTTTTTGTCCATTTCTAAACAAGCATCTAAAATGGCTTGAACTATTTATTTTTAACTAAAAAAACCAAAACAGGTTTGCAACTCAGTTATAATTCATAGCAAGCATTTACAACTTGTCAACTCCTGAAAGTAATAGGCCCACACCACCTCCAAGTTAAATCTGGCTCTATAAGCTATTAAGAGAACATTGCTAAGTAATGCAGGGTTTTGGATTGAGGAACAGCAAAGGCCTGAACACACACTCACCGTATTAGGGTACTGAAATTCAAATTTCACAAACGCATCCAAATCATTTGGTGTCACACCTGTGCAAGACAACAGTCAAACAGTCAAGCCAGGGATTTTCAAAAGCACCCAATTGACTTTTAATAGGACTCATGGACCTAAATCACTTAGATGCTTTTAAAAACCCCATCCACTGGAACACTGGCAATCAAAGGCAAACATTCTGCTAATGCTCTAGTTGGTTCTGAGCGCATACATAAACATTTATTATAGGGTTTTAATTGTTAAGGGACCTAAGAATAATTTGTATTGCTATGAGGCTGGGATGCTCTTGAACATCTCCTGCTGGTTGGCTGACAAGAGAGTCAAAGCAGACAAGCCATCTCAGAGCTTTGCAAAATTTTTACAACAAAAACTGAAGTCTCATGAAATTTGAACCTGGGCCCACTTTCGAGCAAAGCTGGGACAATTTTAGGGTTCTGCCTTCAAAGCAGATGAAACGCCGCAGTTTAAATTGAGTTTTGTTTCAGTTTTTTGGAACTGAACTGAAACTTGGGGGCCTGAGCTAACATGGACTGAAATTAAAAAGCTTTCAAAAGCTCTAAATCAGCTAGGGTTGCCAACTTTCTAATCGCACAAAACCGAACACCCTAGCCCCACCCTTTCCCTGAGGCTCCATCCCCCACTCACTACATTCCCCCTCCCTCGGTGGCTCGCTTTCCCCCACCCTCACTCACTTTCACTGGGCTGGGGCAGGAGGTTGGGGTGCGGAAGGTGGTGAGGGCTCTAACTGGGGGTGCGGGCTCCAGGATGGGGTCAGAAATGAGGGGCTGAGGGTACGGGAGTGGGCTGCAGGTTGGGGCAGGGAGTTGGAGTGCAGGGGTGGGGTGAGGGCTCCGTCTGGGGGTGCGGGCTCTGGGGTGGGGTCGGGGATGAGGGGCTTGGGGTGCAGGAAGGGGTTCTGGGTTTGGGTTGGGGGACTCAGGGCTAGGGCAGGTGGTTGGGTCTTGGGGTTGGGGCACAGGCTTATCTCGGGTGGCTCCCCGTCAGCGGCACAGCAGGGCGTATTAAGGCAGGCTTCCTGCCTATCCTGACTCCGCTTCTGGGGCGCAGCGGCCAGCAGGTCCGGCTCCTAGGTGGAGGTTTGCAGGCGAATCTGCGTGCTGCCCTGACCCGCAGGCACTGCCCTGCAGCTCCCATTGTCCAATGGTTTCCGGCCAATGGGCGTGCAGAGCTGGTGCTCGGGGCAGGGGCAGCACATGGAGCCCCACTGCCCCCCTGCCTAGGAGCTGGACCTGCTGGCCGCTTCCGGGGTGCAGCTCAGAGCCAGGGAACGTAGGGACTAACCTGCCTTAGCTCCGCAGAACCGCCGACTGGACTTT